GTGTCTCTCCTCCAGTCAGTGCTCACTCTGCTGTGATCTCTCAGTGCTGTCAGTGAGAGGTGTCTCTCCTCCAGTCAGTGCTCACTCTGCTGTGAGCATTCACTGGTATCAGAAAGACATTCTCTTCCAGCACCAAGTGAGGGTAACACTGTTGTATGACAGCAAGCATACTTGCCATAAGTGAAAAGAAGAAACAGCGCTGACAGATGTGCAGAGGCTCTGGTGCTGAGCTGAAATGATCAGCAGCTGGAGATTTTGCCCAGATTGTTTATCATTTCAAAATAAAAAAAAGATCTGACTGTGTAATAACAACAATAAGCACAACTGCCCTCCCGACAAGTCAGGCTGTTTAGGCCATTAACAGAAGGAGCTTGAAATCTGACATTTTCTGTGATCCAGTAGTTTTTAATGTCATTTTCTTTTCTGTACTAAGTAACCAAAGCCTCACTTTACCTAGCATTCCTTTTTAACCCCATAGCCTTTGGAGTTTCTCCCCCTTTCACCTGGCAGAGAAATGAGATACGAAGATTAGGGAGGTCTAGTTACAGGTCTGGTGCGGTTTGCAAGAAATTCAAGCCAGTGGTAACAAAATCAAACGGTTCTTAACGTTCGCTATCCGCCTTTCCAATGTCTTTCCTCGGACGTGGAATTCTTCCTTTTAAATCTGATACCAGCCTCCCGTTGCACGCAGATGAGAGATCAATGGAGCAGCCTGGACTTTCTGGGTTTGTGATGTGTTTTTATGGCAGGGAAGTTTACGACAGTGGTTTGCAAGCCCTGCTAAGATTCTCTCTGTCCCGGAGGATGCTTTATTCTTGGCTGACGCTGCTGGTGTTGAAGCCAAGTGCACATTTCCTACAAACAGGGCTTAATGTGGGTGCAGCAGGTGTCCTCTCCTGTCCGCAAATGTCTTTGAGATCTTTGTAGGTGATCAGCACTATAGAAATTGCTCTTCTTCTTCAGTCTTGTCCTCTCCATTGTATGGAGTTTCTGATGAAAGTTCAGGAGGGACGACAACAACCAAAAGCAATTGTACTCAGCTGTCAGTAATTAGCAATTGGTCCCGACATCCGTTCCTCTCCCAAAACGCTATAAATACCTACGAGATGTCTCTTACATCCCACCTCCTCCCCAGCTCCACTTCTGCAGGTGCCCCTTGGTCACCCTGCATGGGGGTCCTGGCCTCCTTGTCCTCTGGCCAGGAGGTCAGCCCTCAGCTGAGCAGGTTAAGCCAATATCCACTCCATAATACTTTCATCACACTTTAATCTTTGGTATGGTCTTTCCTATTGAATCTGAGTTCTTTCAGGCTTATGATTTCAGGGTATCGTCTTCAGGTTCAGGAAGGGGGCCTGGCAGCTTGTGCCTCCTGTTTGTAGTTCTGAGAGTGCCTCCTGTTCGTTTTCTCATCCGGGTTCTTATTTTCATGGACAGAGAGTGCCCCAAAAATAACCCAAAATGAACAGGGACTGAAAAAGGCCACTTTATGACTGATGAACTCTGCGCTTGGAGGGAATCCTGGGTGTTCTCCTGGGCCAGGGAGAGCCCAGTCAGCTTTAACTGATAAAAGTAATTGAGCTTTAATTGATAATTGTCTATTAATTTAATTCATGTATTAATTGAATTGTCTTAATTGGGCATTTAAGGTTGTTTATGGCTGAAGCTATAGAAGATGCATTCAATAAACTGTAACTCACAGCAGTTTTGAAACCTTCTCAAAAACGTACAGAATATTTGTGGGCTTTCAGTGAATTGTGTTATTAAAGTCATGACATTAGCCAGGGCTTTAGGTTCCTGGGTTGGAGTCTGACCTAGCTGGTTCCTAGACCGTGCCCGTGTCACGCGTGCTACTGCAGTGCAAATCGTTTGATTGGTTCACTACTGTATGCCCATACTGCATACCACGAACTGCACACAATCCCTACCGGGCTGAAATAGTGTCAGGCCCAAGTCAGTCAGCACACGGCTCGCACCGGAGGGCGCTACACCAACTCACTGTGGCCTCCGCTGGCATTCACGCAGGTAATTGTTACTCCTATTATCACATGGCACCATCCTTATTGGCTGATGACTTTATCTAGCTGAACGCAGAAGCCCAGAGCTGCTTGAATGCCACACATGTGCCGGCCAAGTACCCACACTAATTTCTTCACACTTGAAGTGACAGCAGACAGAGATTCACCCAGCAGTCCTGTTCACCCAGCAAGGGATTTCCTTACCCCTCTCCCTTCCCACACACCCCTCGTAATCCCCCCCCCCAGCCAGTGCCTCAAGTGTCAGGCTAATTGAGCTTCATCCTACCCCCACAGAGCCAGTTTATCCATCCCTGCTGACTTGGCTGGTGGTGTCAAACGCTTGTTAGGAGCTCATCAATCTCGGGCAGTTAGGAGCATTCCGACTGAGGGGGAGACGGGGGGGGAGGGGGAGGTGAGAGACAGAGACAGAGATACAGATCTGGAGGATTTACAGTGTGTGTGTGTGTGTGTGCGCGTGTGTGTGTCCCCAGTCTCAACAGATCCGCGGCGGACAGTTCTGTTTTTATCCCAGCCGGCTGGTGTTGGCGATTCCGTCCCCTTGCGGAGCTTCACAGGAGCCCCCTTGACAAGCAGGGCAGAGGTGGCCCGTGTTGGGGGTGGGGGTCCTGCACGACGCTCCGGGTTTTCATTTCAAGGGGTATCGAAGTTACCGCGTTGGGCAAGGGGACCTGCAGGAGCAGCACATTGCTCCGAGTCCCTTCGAGGCGAGGCGGGTGCAGGAAGAGGGCGGGGGCTCATCCTCGGAACGCGGTCGCTCGGTTCTGTTCTGGGGGCGGCAGAGGGGCGTTGGAGGCGTTGCAGAGCCTGCCTTTGTGAAAATCCCCTTTCACCGCCCGCTGTGTTTTCCCGAATGCTGTTGTGGCGTTGACTGGGCGATGGCGTGCAGCAGATCGCCATCCCGTTTTAAAAAGGACGCAGAGGGCGGCAGCCAAGCTGACTGTTTCACCCCATGTATAGGGTGCTCTCCGCAATGAGGGAGAGCTTTCATTACTCTTGCATAGCCTCCTGAGTGCAGAATACCCAAACAGCTTTGGGCACAACATGAAGGAGAGCCATAAAACTGATGGATGTGCCCTCAATATAGTTTCGCCAGCTGCTACATGGGTTTCTTTCTTTTTTGAGACTTCGGCGTCCACGCTCTCCCTCACAGGAGTCCCATATTTACCAACCCAAAAGAGGACCTCGGGCAAACCCATTGGCATCTGGGATGTACAGGGGGGCTCACTGGGTCACGTTACAGCAGAAAAGGGACTTTTTTTGAGGAGGCAGGGTGTGCTCAGCAGAGTTTCTAAACAATGGAGTGTAGGAAAAGAAGACAATTATGAGATAGTAAGTCTCGCATGCTTTATGTGCTATAACACCATTGCCATACAATACCTGCATCATCATTATCTGACTTTCAGTTTTAAACTGTGGAATCCATTCCAGGGCACACTTGTTCTTGGTTGAGGATATGTGTGTGTCCTCATGGTGAAAACCGTGCTCACATGAGGTACAAACTGTAACATGTCGTTATGCCTAATCTCCAGGGGAAAGTAAGCCAGTGCACATTTTGCAGCATTGCACATTGCCAGGAACACTAAACCCGCATTTCCAGAAAAGCTATCCGTAGCTTGTAGGTACCGTCCTTGCACAATGTAACAGGTTGTTCATACACTGAGATGAAATACACCCATCGTTGCTATCTCAGAATTAAATGATAAATTGCTATCTTGTAATAACAGTACAAGATAATTTTCTCGTAATTACCAGATCCGAGAGAATTGTTTTTCCCCCATGGCAGCATTGCGCTTCCATACCTACTGTATGTGTGGTAAATACAGGAATTAGTTTGCCTACAGGAAATCCTCCAGTCCGATATGCTTAGTTTCCACTGGTGTGCCTGTGTCCTTGTTGCCCTGCTCGGGTGAAACCACTGGGATGAATTTTGTGCGCAGCCTGGGTAGATTCTGAATACAGGCAGCGAGCACAGCGCAGGGAAGAGCTGTTTTACCATTCTCCGGACAAGGTCCTGGAGTGCCGAGTGGCAGGTCTCGCCCATGCTGGTGGTTCAAGGCCGGGGCAGAGGTGAACAGTGAAGGGGCACCATCGTGGGCTGGGGGGGGGGTGATTTTCCAGGGGTGGAGTTGTGATTTATCCCAGGCGGAAACACGCATGCCTAGACTGGAAGCGTGCACCGTGTCCGTGTCTCTTCCCTTTCCTCGCCCTCCGGAATTCCGAAGCCGATGGCCTGATGAATAATTGGCCATGGCTGTTAAAGCTGAGAGGAGCCATCCGTCACTAATGCTGCGCGCTTGTGGAACTTGGCAGTTTTGCGAACAACTGTCAGGGCGCATCTCAGCCCCACAGTGAGCCTCAGCCTCACAGGCTCAGCCCTGTTTTCCACTCTGAAGCCCTTCTTTTTCCCCACAGATGTCCCCTCCTTCCTCCACCTCCTTTCTTGTAAGAGCTTCTTCCACCTGCTGGTCGCCTCTTTGTGGACTTCCTCTTAAGCAGCACCTCTTTCTTCCTCTTGCAATCTCTTTCCTGTCTTCTCTCTGGATTCCTTCTTTCCCTCCTTCTCTGTGCTCTGTGGTTCTCTTCCACCACACATTGCAGTCTAAAGGGGGAACATGGGCGGCTCACCTTTTTGGGAGCAGAGTTTTCTCTTGAATGATTGGTCCTTTGTGGGGGGAGGGGAGGCTCATCCTTCCACAATTTTTCTGTACGGGTAACATGGGGGCAGACTTTGCCAAAATTCTTGGGATTCCGTGTGCACTGAAACAGCAGACTAGGGGACATTTTGATGCATGTCTGGTGGGCTGAGTGTGGCACCATGCTGGTATCTAGACTAAGAAGGATTTCAGCAGCCACCTCATCTAAGCTCCCCAATCCATAACTATGGCCCAAACTCTAGCCCTTGAACAGCCACTGAAATTGCATTTGTTCCAGACTTTTAATATGGCGATCTACAGCTATAAGGCCAGGGTTCTATAAGTACAGATGATTTTTCCCCTAGCAGAAGAAGAGCAGTCCTCAGAGTGCAGAGAATTGCCACCACATTTACCTCTTCAGTGCCTATACAATCACTGGGATCACACGGGCCAGCTTCTGGAACTAGGAGAATACTGCCCGCCTCCTCTGTTTGCCTTTGACTCTGCTTTGCCAGTCTCTTCTTTGTTCTCCTCCTCTCCCTCTCTCCCTCTCATTCCTTTTCATGTCCCCTGTATTTCTCTCTCTCACTCTCTCATTTTCCCTCTTTCCCAGGCCTGCTGACATCACCCTGGGCAATGACCTTGCCCTGCTCCCCTCCTGCCTTCTCCCTTCCTCTCCTCCTCCCTCTCCTGCTGGTGCAATCCTCCCTCTCTCAGTCCACGCTGCACTGGAATGCTCCCCAGGACCCCTGCTACCACCCCGATGGGCGTCCGAGACACTGCCTGCCCGAGTTCATCAACGCAGCCTACAGGATTCCTGTGCAAGTGGCGGGCCCAGGAGGTGTCCTGGAGAACGTCACCTCCCTCACTGACCTCCACAACCCCCACAACATAAGTTGCTGGCTGGGGGGTCCCAGTGGGATTGAAGAGTGGAGCCTGACGATCCCACTGGGACGGCGTTTCGAGTTGACCTACATCAGCCTCCAGTTCTGTCAGTCCGAGCTCCAGGAGTTTGGCTCCATCTCCATCCTGAAGTCCATGGACTACGGCCACAGCTGGAGTCCTCTCCAGAACTACTCCTCTCAGTGCCAGGAGAAGTTTGGCTTTCTGCCCCACACGGCTGTGACTTCGAGGAGCCAGGAGAGCGAGCCCCTCTGCTCGGACCCTCGGCCCTTGCAGAGGCATCGTGGGGGACTGGTCTTAGCCTTTTCCACCCTGGATGGCAGACCCTCAGCTCCCGACTTTGATTACAGCCCTGTCCTACAAGACTGGGTGACTGCTACCGACATCAGAGTGGTCTTTCACAAAGAGGAGTCAGTTAGAAAGAAGGGGGCGGGGTCAGAACGTGAAGAGGGAGGGGCTCTGAGGTGGAAGGCAGGAAGTAATGCAGGGAGGTGGAACCTTAAGAACAAAGGGGTGGAGCTTGGGAAAGACTTGCGGCATTGGGTAAAATCTCCTAGGGAGGTAGGCCTGAGCCCGAAAGGGAGGGGTATCAAGAGAAAAGGGGAGGGGTTGAGAACCGGAAAGGGCAACCCTGGATTGAAAGAGTCAGGGAGGGGCCATATGAAGGGAGAGAGGCTTAGCCCCGATAAAGGAGAGCTGTACGGCACACACGGACAAAATATCACTGGAACAAGGGGAGGCTCTCGCACTGGGCGGAGAAGTTCTGCCACAAAGGGGGCGGGGCGTGGGAAGGGGAGGGGCCAGAAGAGGGCGGGGAAAGGGAAGGGGGCGTGTAGTAGAACGGACTGCCATTGGAGTCCCAGTGGCGGCACGGAGGGCTCCCAGAGCAGGGAGCTAAGACGGAGACGGAACCACAGCCCAGCTCCCGCTCTGAAGGACTTGACCCAACCCAGCGGGGTGGTAGGAGGTGGCACGCAGCCTCCCCCTGCCTCCCCCCCCTCTGCCCCCCTCTCCCTCTCAGACTTGCAGGTGGGAGGCCGGTGTAAGTGCAACGGGCACGCCTCTCGGTGCCGGCGGGACCCCCAGGGGCGGGCGGTGTGCCAGTGCGAGCACGGCACTGCCGGGCCGGACTGCGACATCTGCAAGCCCTTCTACTACGACAGGCCCTGGCAGCGCGCCACCCCCCAGCAGCCACACCAGTGCGTCCGTGAGTCAGCGCTGCCTCTCTGTCTGACCCCCTGTCCCTGGCTGTCGCCCCGAAACGGGTGCTCCTCCTTGGCTCTCCGTGTCTGCCTGCCTACCAGCCCTTCGCATGCTGCCTTCAGGAACAGACGTGTAAAGTCTCAGGGTGGCTTGAGGAGCAGAAATGTGACTTTGTGCATATTGCATATATACTAATGCATGCACGTTTGTTCACTTTTAATTAATATGTTAGCACGTGTACATAAAGCACTTCAAAATAGTGGGAAAATCAAAAGAAAACAGATATCCATCCACCCTGCCCTCCATTTTCTAATGGCTGTATCCAGTACAGAGCTGCAGTGGGGAGCCAGAGTCTATCCTGTCAAGCAACCGGAGCAAAGCAGGATACACACTGGGACAGGCGGCCACTCTATTGCAGACACACACAGACGTACATGCACACACCAGGGCCAGATTTCCCAGAAGCCAATTAACTTACTTTAGGCTGCTGGAGGAGACTGAAGGAAACCCACGAGAACAGAGGGAGAACATGCAAACTCCACACAAACAGTACGCCAGGAAGTGATCCCATGGCCCCAGCAGTGTGAGGCAGCGGTGGTCACTACTGCACCACGGTGCCGCCCAGGAACAGCCGTGATTTCCCCTTTTGCCTCAAGTGGGGAACATAGCTCGTATGGTTGCCATGTTCCTATCGGACACTCGATGCCTGCGCTGTCGCTCTGCTGGCTGTAAATCTCCCTTGACTGGTTGCTCAGTTTTTTTTATTTCCTGCCCCACCAGTTTCTGACCCTGGCTGACTCCCCCCCCTCTTCACCTCCCCTGGGCTACGAGGCAGTAAATTAGCGTAAACAGGCGAAAGGCAAGGGTGGAGGGGGTGCTGGGAAAGGAGGAAAAGGGGTTTCTTTACAAGCGGGGAGAGGGAAAGTGAGATGGAAGTGTGCCAGGGAGGTGCAGGCGGAATGCAGAGCTCGGGCAGCTGCTGTTCGTGGTGCTGTTCGTGGGGGGGCGGGGCGGCTGTGGTGCGAACAGGATGAGCCTCTGACACCTCGCACGCCAGCGAGCGTGAGCCCCCCCAGCAGCGCCAGGTGCTCGTGTCCAAACATGAGTTCACTGGGGTCTAGCACGTATAAAAGCAGCACAGAGAGTAGTGAGAAAGTGAGGCACGAGAGGTGTCACCGCAAGGTAAAGGCATGGTAAAGCCAGAGACAAGACGGAGACAGTTCAGCTCCTTCACTCAAACACTAGCCGTCTAGCCTTTTAGAACTACATGATAATTCTGGCTGCATGATATTCAGCTTGAATTGGAGAATAGTAAAATGACATCATTGAAATAGTTCTTCAGTTTCTCTTCTCTCCTCTCTCCTGCTCCTCTCCCTTTCTCCCTTATCTCCTTTTCCTTCTCCTCCTCCTCTCTCTCTCTTCTATTTCTCTCATTTCCTCCTTCTCTCCCCTCTCCCCTCTCTCCTCTCTTCCTATCTGCTCTGCCCTCTCCTCCTCTTCTCCCCCTTCTCTCCTCCTCTCCCCCCTCTCTCTCCTCTCTCCCCTCCTCTGGCCTACAGCCTGCCAGTGTAACCAGCACTCCAGCCGCTGTCGCTTCAGCATGGAGCTGTACCAGCTGTCGGGGCGTCGCAGTGGGGGCGTGTGCATGAAGTGTCGCCACCACACCACGGGGCAGCACTGCCACTACTGCCAGGAGGGCTACACCCGAGACCACGGCAAGCCCATCAGCCACCGCAAGGCCTGCCGCCGTGAGTACCGGGGCAGAGAGTGGGGCACTGGCAAAGAGCAGACCTGGCAGGAAGTGGTTGGCTACTGGGTTTCTTTATTAACTTTGCCATTCAGGGATCTTCAATCAGGGGTCAAAGTTCATGTTCATATTGTCCAATCGGTCAGGAACAGGGTCGTGGTGCGCAGCCACATACGGAGATGGAATGAAAGACACTGATGTGCGTTTCAGCACAAAGCGAATAAGGGCCAGTTCAGTCAGATGTGGTTGTTACCCTAGGAAGAATAATGCCAGGTCTGAAACAAATACCATGGGCTAGAAAGAGCTGTGGCTCTTGAGTCTTGTTAGAGGAGGGAAACAGGATACACGTAAAGACAAGTAGTCTGACTCCCGAGTTGCACCAGGGCACAATGGGAAAATGGTGAGGAATTAAGAATTGGAGGCACTGTGGACACAGATGGGATGGTGGGTGTCTGGAACAAGCAGCCTAGCTTGTGCTTGAGGCCAATTCGCAGGAATCGTTAGAGACGCAGCTGAATGGGATCCCAGGTCCAGCAGGCTGCTGGCCAGGTGAAATAGCTTCCTCTCTGCGGTGACTTTCCGACGGACTCTCTGCCCCTGAGGCCTGAGCTGGGAGCCGCAGGTTCTCTTCATTGCCTTCGCTCACTCGTTCACCCTCTTCCTCACCCTCCTCCCGTGCCCCCAGCTTGCTCTTGCCACCCGGTCGGCGCCCTGGGCAGGTCCTGCAACCAGACGACGGGACAGTGCCGCTGCCGGGAGGGGGTGACTGGGGTCACCTGCAGTCGCTGCGACCGGGGGTACCAGCAGAGCCGCTCCCCGACGAGACCCTGCGTCCGTGAGTCACAGCACCCGCCCTGTAACACCCAGATCTGGAGGGCTGCCTTGTGCAGGAGAAGCCAGCATGAGAGCCGATGCGGATTTATAGCGCTCCACATGCCCAGACAGGCAGCAGGCCGATAACAGTACAGGAGAGAAGCGCAGTGGGGCAGCAGCAGAAATTGCCATGAGGCATCTAGAAGCTGGACGAAAGAGAAGGCTGTGATTTCACATTCACTGCACTTCAAAGCTCCAGAAAGGAAGGGAAGATGGAGAAAATTTGCATGCTGCTGCACATACAGTATTACTCATGGCACATACAGGATTGCACAGGCTTTGGCTGTGCAGCTCCAAGTCTTTTAATAGACCAAAGAGCAGCAGGTCTTTGGGCGACAGGCACTGGGATGACGGCAGCAGGGGTGCACTGTAGTAACGTGAGAGGGTTTGATTTAGTGGGGAGGACTGGAGCACAGAGCTGATGTTTGACCTGTGAGGACCACACACACACAGACACTTGTACGCCTGACATTTTGAGGCCATGCTATTAACCCTCGTTCTATTTTTATGTACTCTTCCGAATTCCACTCAAATTTAAGCCCACACCAGGTGAAGACTGACTTCCACGCTGTCTGTTGGTCAGGTCTTCGCTATTTTCTTAGATTTTGGCCTGGTGGGAGTAGTGTCTCAGTGGGTAACTCATTCTCAGTAGACAGACAAATGAAGCCCACTCAATGTTACAGAAGAGGACTGTAACATCCTAAATTACCCACTGTGCCATCTTCCAGGTTAATGCCCCTTGGAAGGTTTACCTAGGCAGCCGAAATAGCAGCGTAAAGTCCAGAGCAGTGTGCTAAAACACAATAATAAAATGTATTTTATATAGTACCTTTAAAGGTGGCTTCTTAAAGTGCTTTACAGAATGACAACAACAACAAGTAGAAGACAGCAACACAATTCAAGAATCAAGACAATGAAAGTCAATGTACAGTATATATCAGCAGGGACCCAAAAGTAAATGGCAAAAATATATTATGCGTGTGGCAAAATTTATTAAGGGGTGATGTTGCTTTTGGATTTTCTCTCCCAAAGTTTGCCATCAGATCCAATCCGTTGTATTGTATAAGGGGTGGTGCTCGTTCCGGGCGCTGGGAAAATTCCAAGCCTTTTCTGGTTTTCATTCCTCGGGATTGTCTTGGTGGCGTCATCAGCAAATCTGCCATTGGACTGTAAGAAATAAGTCTTTTAGTCGCGGAGAGATTTTGGGGCTCCCTGTAAAACATACAAGAGCACCAGCAGTCCAATGTCCCGCTCTGATCACAGGAAGCCCCTGTGAGGAGGCTGGGAAGAGAGGTGAAAGTTAAGGAGGTGAAGATTTGACTTGACAGTGAAACCTGGGGGCCTACAAGCTGTCCCTGTTGCTCCGAGGTGCCGTTAGTGATCTGCGTCGGAGCCACCGATTAACTCCAGGCTGGCCTTGTCTTTGCAGGAATCCAGGAAGTGGTCACGACCACCCCCGTCTTCCAGCCCCAGTACAGCGCAGGTAAGAGCGAGGAAGAGAAAGCAAACCTGCTCCTGTCGAGGGAAGGGAAGCAGGGGGGTTATAATTTAGCTGACTGCGCAATACGCAGTGCGGAATCCTGATTCGAATCACAGCCACGCGCAGAAAACCGCCCCAGCAACATAAATAACAGCGCTCACATCTCCATCTGGGGTTACAGGCAAGCTTGTCTGACACTCCGCTGGCCTGCGCCAGTGGAAGTTTAAGAAACTTAGGGACATTCTCTTGCCAGGGCTCTGGGAATTTTATGGGGCCGTACTTTCAATTTATGAATGAGACATCCATCAAAGTCGGAAAAGGGATATGATATTGCAGACCACACAGAGAAAAGCAGACATGTTTGGCAGAGTCTAAGGTCTTTTAGTCACACAGAAAGCCAGGAATATCCAGTGCCTGCTGTTCTTTCTTATACAACCCCAAGGGCGGGAGAATATGATTGAAATACCCACTGAACATCTTTATGAGTAAATGATTTATTTCATTCGTTCTTAGAGGCTGTCCTGCATGTGTGGGGCAGCAGACTCACCTCTGTGGCTTCAGTGAGGTGTAGGAGTTTGGCTTTGGACTCATAACTGGAAGGCTATGGGTTCAGGTCCCTACCAAGGGAACTAAGTCAGACCTTTTAGCAAAGTTACTTCACTCAGTTTCGGTTAATTGTCCTCCAGCATGGCCGAGTAATTTTACAGGTTTTCCTTGCAAATGGGGATTTGTGGGAGACAGGGTAGTGCAGTAGTTAGCATTGCTGCCTCGGAGCACCAGGACCTTGGGTTCAATTTCAGACCTGGGATGCTGTCTGTGTGGAGTCTGTATGTTCTCCCTGTGTTTGCATGGGTTTCCTCCCACAGTCCAAAGACAGGTTGGTGGGTGAATTGGCCTCTGGGAAAATCAGCTTTGGTGTGAGTGTGTGTGTTTGTTTCTGTCTGCCTCGCGATTTACTGGCGTCCCACCCAGGGACCCACCCAGGCACCTTGTGCCCGCTGCTTGCTGGGATAGGCTCCCTCATGACCCTGGATTGGATCAAACAGTTAGAAAATGGAAGGATGAGAATTAGTTCTCAATGCCCCTTGTCTGGTGACATGAGGAGGGTGTCACATCAGGATATGAAGAAAAGCATCAAACCTTTTGCAGGGTGCTGAGAAATCAGGATCCCTTCAAGTTCGTTACCGGCAGAGTCTTGGATGATGAGCATGAAAGCAATTAGCAACTCCAAGTGTGAAGACAGGGGGAAAGGAGGACAGTGGTCAGGGACCTGGGCACAGAACTGGGAGGCTGTGGCTCAAATCCCAAGTGAGACACTGATCTGGTGCCCTTGGTACCAAGTCATACAGATGGGTGACAATGTATATATAATGAGTGGATTGATTTAATCCATCCTGTCAGTCAGACACAAACAGTGAAAACTATGCATTCATTTTTCCATGTTTCACTCAGTCGTCCCACCACTTTTGATCGTGTTTTCTGAACACGTAGCATTGGTCCCCGTGCTAATTGAACGCCACCTTGTGGCCAATGTCCATCATCGCATGGCAAAAAACATTTGCCAAAAATGTGTGCCTCTATAAAGGGAGAGAATAAACGAATACACAGTACAGGGAGGGCACACATGACAGGATAAACAAAAGGACATTAAGGGGCTGCTTTAAGGCTGTGCTGGAAACTTTAGACTAGAGCAGGGAGTCTTGAGCGCAAATCCTGGAAGGCCTAATTCTACTGGCTTTTGTTGCAAACAGAAGCCAGCCAATCTTTCTATTTCCTACCTCAAAATATATTGAATTTTTCTTAAGGTCTTTTCAGTAAAATTCACTTCATTTAAGGTATAGTTACCCATAAAACACCGTGGAGCCGGGATTAAAAACATCATAGTTATGCAAACACTCCAAATTCATTTTCACATTCGTTTAATCCCCTTTGATCGTGTTTTCTGAGCGCCAATTTGGCTACACGTCAGGAAACATCTGCTGGCCGCCTCAGCAGCATGAACCTGTGTTAAATGATCACCGCCTAGTGGCCGCTCTCTATCATTACATGGAAAAAAACGGAAGCCCGTGCAATCGAAGGTTGCATTGGAAAAATTAATTTAGTCCTTTATTATAGACAAATCTGAAACCATAACCTCCTGCGCCCAAGGCCAGCGGTTAGTGCTCCGTGACACTTCCTTCGCATTCCGCATTATTGCTTCTGACAGGCTCTAATTACTGACACCATCTTTATCAAGCAATTAAGGATCAGTTCTGTAGTAGAGTGCTTGGAAGGGTCAAAGTCACGTAACCTCACAGAATGGACATGTCAAGGTTGGATACTCCTTTTCTATACTAACCATCCAGTGCTTCACAAATTTAAGATTGATCCTGTTAATTATTAATTAATTAAACACTGACGAGCTCGGGGGCAATAAGCCCTGTGGCCCTCCCAGGGCACCGTGGGATGAAAATCCGTTTGGGATTCATGGAGCTGATTATCACTAAAGACCAGGATCCAGGTCAAACCCAGCAATCCGTGACGCAGTCCGAGTTTTGTCCAAGCAGGACAGGGACTAGCTGTGTTCTACAAAACCATAAAGAAATACAGAATTGTATATTTCAGAAGCCTGGTACGAGACAAACTACAAGGCTCGAATCATAGAATTGCACTGTCTATGGCTTTTTAACGTTTTGCAGAACCACTTTTGAAACATCTCATTAATAAGCGGAAGAGGTGTTAGTGGGGCCAGCAGGGGGTGCTCACCCTGCGGTCCATGTGGGTCCTAATGCCCCAGTACAGTGACAGGGACACTATACTGTAAACAGGCGCCGTCCTTCGGATGAGATGTAAAACCAAGGTCCTGACTCTCTGTGGTCATTAAAAATCCCAGGGCGTTTCTCGAAAAGAGTAGGGGTGTAACCCTGGCGTCCTGGCCAAATTTCCCCCTGGCCTTTACCAATCATGGGCTCCTAATAATCCCAGTCAATGAATTGGCTTCATCACTCTGTTCTCCTCCCCACTGAGAGCTGGTGTGTGGGGAGCGTTCTGGCGCACTATGGCTGCTGGCGCATCATCCAGGTGTGGCTGCACACTGGTGGTGGTGGAGGGGAGTCCCCATTACCTGTACAGTGCTTTGAGTGGAGTGTCCAGAAAAGCATAATATAAGTGTCAGCAATTATAATAATTATTATGATTATTACTCGTGCCAACATCTCCCTGGCACAGCTAATGAAGGGGCTGGATGCACTGGTGGCCTGTGCCTGCTCCGACTCCCCGTCCTGTGTGTGTGTGTGTTCTCAGGGGAGGGGTGTGACTCGTACTGCCAGCCACCTGCGGGGAGAGTCCGGATGAACCTGCGCACATACTGCCTGAAGGAATATGGTGAGCACAGCCCACAGGGCCTTGAACCCTGAGCCGCACTGATGTCCGCGGACGCCGGGCCCACACTGGTTGTGACAGTGGGATTCCCCATTACCTGTAAAGCACTTTGAGTGGTGTGTCCAGAAAAGTGCTGTATAAGTGTGATATATTATTATTTAACAATAAAATTCTTGTTAAATCACTCTCGAAGCCCCCTGTTAGGCTCGTCAGCTCTCAGACACCGCAGGCTCATCGTGTGCCTTTCCTGTCCGCAGTGCTGAAAGCTCACGTCCAGGCAATGGAGCGCTCGGGGTCCTGGTGGCAGTTTTCGGTTTCGGTCCTCTCGGTGTTCCGCAGCGGGACGCCCCGCGTGAGGAGGGGAGCCCAGGCCGTGTGGGTGCCCGAGAGAGACCTGGGCTGCGGCTGCCCCGCCCTGCAGGTGGGCCGCACCTTCCTGCTGATCGGCATGGCGGGGGGGCCGGACGACAGCCGCCTGGTGGCTGACCGCACCACCCTGGCCCTGCTCTGGAGGGACCACTGGGCCCCCAAACTGAGGGGACTGCGGGGCCAGGCCAGGAGAGGACAGTGCCAGAGCCCTCTGCCCCCCTCAGCTGCCCCGCCTATGTCCTCACAGCCCCCCCAACCTCCGCACTGACACACTAGGGGGCCTCCTTATTGTGCAACAAGCCCCGCGGCCCTCCCAGTGCACCATGGGAAGACAATCCGTTCAGGATTTACGGAGCTGATCATGAGTTAAGACCAGGATCCTCTGAGTCAGGCACTGTTAAACCCTGGGGCGGAGCAATCCGTGATACAGTCTGCGTTTTGCCCAAGCAGTGCCTCCTACAGGATGGGGACTAGCTGTGTTCTACAAAACCATAAGTAAAAACACAGAATTGTACATTTCAGAAGCCTGGTACGAGACTAAAAAGCTCAAATCATAGACTTGCACAGTTTATTGCTTTTCAATGTTTTGGAGAAGCGCTTTTAAACCTTCTCCAGCCTGTTAGACGTGCTTTCCTCTCACATACTTGTGCCAACATCTCCCTGGCACAACCAGACGGATTCCTTGTTCTTGGCGTTTAGGAGCCCTGCCCATAGCAGGGTCTGCCTGAAGAAGATGGGCGGGTACAGTACTCTACAAGCTCTTGATCGTCTGAGTCCTGCCACCCGTTCTTGAGGGAACGTCCTCTGCTGGTTCCACTTGTTCTCAGTAGGACTGTGAGAGGGGACGTTTTGGACCAGCAGAAGCAAGGGAATCCTGTCTCCTGCTCCTTAGCCAAAACTGCAAAGCGTACACACCGAGAGAGACTATTCATGAGTGGGGGGGCTTCTCATATTTCGACAGGGGAAGTACATGAATGTGTATGAAGGGGATTCATGCCGAGAGAATAATGACTCTTAAAAAATGACTTTTTGCATGAAATCCTTTCTCATGATCACTATACAACTCCCCCTGTTGTTGTTCACTGATTTCAAATAAACGAATTAATTAAAGCACGGTCTGCTCTGTTTTTGGACATCCTCTGCATGAGCCAGACAGGAGACCCACCGAAAAACACAGGAAGAAAATACATTTTTGGGAGGGGGGGGTGAGTTAGAGAGACTACGGTACTGTGCTGTACAACACTGTACTGTAGGAGGTGTTGTCCTGTGGATGAGAGGACCTACTGTATAGTGAGGATCTCAGGCATTAAAAATCCCAGGGCACAGTTTGTAAGAGTATGGGTCTTTACCCTGCTGTTCTCCCTAGGTTCTGTTCAAGTATGCACAATTTAGTATGTCTTTTTTATGGGGGGGTCATTTTTCACCTGATGTGCTGTGCAGGGGGCTGTTGGCTGAGTGTCACCCAGGTGGGAACTGAACTTCACCAGCGAATAAAGAGCGTCCGTTCTTATTTGTCCAGCAGCTTGGGCTCATTTGGGATGACAACTGCTGTTTTTATACAGTTATTCTAGTGTTCAGGTGATACATTTGCTTTTTAAATTTTTATTGTGTGAAGAATAAAAATTAATCAAACAACTTATACAATTACAAGTTAATTTCTGGCTGGCAGCCATATCACCCTGCAGATCACAGCTGGCAGCCTCCTGAAACCCAGCAGGTGTGAGCCTGGTCAGTACCTGGATGGGAGACATCCTGGGACAGCTAAGGTTGTCATCATGGTGAGCAGGGGGCGCTCACCCTGCGGCCTGTGTGGGTCCTAATGCACCAGTATAGTGAGGGTGACGCTATACTGTAAATACGTGCCCTCCTTCAGGTTAGATGCAGTCTCTGTGGGTCCAGACTCTGTGGTCGTTAAAAATCCCAGGGTGTTTCCTGTAAAGAGTAGGGGTGTATCCACTACCCCCTAAATTATTCCTTGGCCTTTAACAATCATTGCCTCCTAATAATCCCCATCTATGAACTGGCTTCATCACTTTGTGGCACTCTGATTGCCCTCACATCATCCAGGTGGGGCTGCACATTGGTGGTGGAGGAGGGGAGTCCCTATTAACCTGTAAAGTGCTTTGAATACAGTGTCCAGAAAAGTGCTATATAAATTTAAGGAATAATAGAACAGATCATAAAGATGAAAAACGAATAATGTCCCGTTACTGTAAGCCTGTCAGAAGAGTCGCTGTGCTCGGAAGTTCACAGCGCTGAGCACACGCACACCTTAAGGTTAACGGGCGTGAATAAGATTCCATAAAAGACGTGAGTGCACTTCTGGGAACGAGATTAGTAAATGATTCTTTCCAAAAAATGGAAGAGGCGGTATTTTGGATAGTGGCGTCTAAATCTGACGCAAATAAAAACTAGAATCGCAAGAGATTGGAGGAGGGTCAGATACCCCCGTCACTAACATTGAATTACTCGGGCTGTGCGTATAACAAGGCGGCGGCGGTGGTATATGGGGAGAAAGCGGTGCAATTTAATATCTCCGTTTTTTTAAATATTTGAAGAGACAGCCTCGTCGTCCCAGTTTTACCGCATACCGGCTTTGATTCATTGTGGCGGTTTAATATCGCGCATTAAAAATACATTTTAAGAGCAGACGCACATCCAGTGTCGAGGGATTAAGTTAGATTGTGAATCCAGTGTCAAGCCTTTGCCCCTACCGCCTCCGCTGTAATTTTACGAGATTAAAGGTCACGACCTAAGGAGTTGAAAGTTCAACAAGGCCCCGCGGGCTCGTAAAAGGTGCTTGTGAGATCTTTATCACAAGGCTACTGCTAACGTTCGTAATAATAAATGCTGGTCTGCTTAATCTCAATTACACAGGGTCACCTAAGAGTTCAGTGTCAGATCACAACTTGCAAAATAAACTTGAGTTGAGAGGAAATTTGGCGGAGCCTGTTACGTCTCAATGTCACGGACATTGTTACAACAGTCGTAAAACCGGACTTTAAAACAACAACCTGTAGAAAAGGAGAAATGCAGAAGAAAAGGTAAACTTGAAAGGGCTGCTTTCAATTCAGCATGCAAATGTGTAGGAATGTGAATGTATTTCGCAGGTACTTCATTGTTTTCTTTCATATCTGCTGGGTTTTATTTCTTTTCTGTGTTTTCTTTACTGTTCATCGTGATAACGATAACAAGGACACGCAGGCAGGTTGCTATGGACTCTTTCGAAAATGACTTAATTTGAATGCTGCTGTTCATGTGAAATACTTTAAGTTTTAACGTATATCTGGAACTGTCAGGACTTTTTATCACCGTCGGTATAAAAACGGACAATAGGTCAGTTGTTACCGTCTTAAAGTGTGGGCTGCCCATCATAATGTGAAGTCTCGAGCATCATCCTGGAAAAATGTGTCTCCCTAGTTACCGCCGCTCGCTATGATACAAAAAACTTAAAATGCAAAAGGGAGCTACAGCTGTATATAGTCAGTTGCATAGGGATGGATCTATACAAATGTTATAGTTCTGGCTATAGTTCATTGCACCCAAGTTTTCAGTGCATTTGGGGACTCTGAGTGTGTTGTTTTTTTGCCTCTGCCATCCATTCAAGTGTAAGTGTAGCACAAGAACAGATGAGCTGTGTAACCAGACTCACGCCTGGCATCGTTTCTCCCCATGGCACTCTGTACTATGGTTACAGGTAGTCTGGCAGCAGGGTGGCGCAGTAATGAGCGTTGCTGCCTCAAAACCCTGGGGCCCTGGGTTCAATTCTGGACCTGGGGTGCTGTCTGTGTGGAGTTTGCATGTTCTCCCCATGTTTGTGTGGGTTTCCTCCAGGTGCTCTGGTTTCCTCCCGCGGTCCAAAGACTGTCCAAAGTAGGTTAATTGGCTTCTGGGAAAATTGGTGTGAGAGTGTGCGTCGGTGTGTGTGCTGTGATGGACTGGCATCCCCTCCAGGGAGTACCCTGCCTTGTGCCTGTTGCTTGCTGGGATAGACTCTGGCTCCTCCGTGACCTCAAATTGGAAGAATTGGTTAGAAAATGTACTGTATGGTTACAGGTAACCTTTCAGGATGCTTATGGTTGTTGCTGGAATAGATCCCCAATCAAGTTAATTCATAATTAACTTATAATGTGCTGAGTTCCTACAACACTCTGTCACACAACCTGAAAAACACAAACTACTGTAATTTGAAATCAAACGGGTACAAATCATAGAAGTACTGTGGGTACATCTGGCTTGCCCTGTGGGCCGGATCTTGTTAAATAATGCATGACAACATGCGACAGCAGTGTGTTATGTCAAGTTTAAATTCATTTTTTTTTTTTGTGTGCTGTCTGGGATGGATGATCAGACATTAATAAGATCGTGAGCGCTCATCAGATGAAGTTTTACTAGTCTTCTCGAAGCTGTTGTATAAAGCTGTAGAGTTCCTCTGTCTGTTGCTCTTTCCTGCACGGGGGAAATGAACTCTCTTTTGTTTCCTGTTGGAATGCACAGTAGAACTCTGTGTGGCTTTGTGATGGTGTTTGTCTAGGTTCAGAGTGACCTTTGACCCAGCAGGTGTTCTGATATTGGCTGGTCACGCCCACACTGAAAGCTTACCCTAGCCGAGCAGGGGTTAACAGTGCAGCACCTGTTTCGCTGAGAATGTGCTCTGTGTGAACTCCATCTTGTTGCTCATGAACCTGAACTGATTTGATTTCAGGCACCACAAAGCGTGCAAATCAACATCTGTGTCAAAGTTTAGATATACATCTGCTTCTCTCAATTTCTTTCTCTTTTTCTGTTAGGTCCTATGGGTTCTGATGAGATGACATGACCCACTATACTTGTGTAAATTTTGTATTTAACTACAACTACAACTGCAACTAGATGCATTCCTGAGTTTAAAGGAAAGCTCCTACACTGACAGGCTGGAAGAACTAAACCTTTCTAGTTTGGAGCAGAGGTCACTTAACCTGTATTAACACTGTATCTTCCCCAGATGGAAAAACTATTTTCAAGTGATGTGAGGAAATGTATCTTAAATACCTTTGAGCGAGAATCTCATAGGAAAGCAATTAGACCAGGTAATCCTGAGGATGCTTGCCTGAAGAAATGCACCCATCAATGCTGATTCTTTCTAACCCCGAAATATAAGAATAGCATTGTAGTTCTACTTTAACTGAGGACAGGACTTTGCCAGCGCGGGCCTGTGCTCAGGATAAAGGTGACACAGACCAGAGCTCTAGCTATCGGTCTTTAGTCACGGGTCACTAGGCTGAGGCTGGTCTGCCACTGTCTAGTAATCAAAAATGAAAAGGAAACCTGAAGGAAGTCATCTGGTTAAAAAAGAAAGGTTTTTATTTCATTTCTCCATCTTCCAGACTCCCTGTCTGCCTCTTTCCCTGCTTCTCCCTCTCTGCGGAGATATCAACAGGACATTTACAGACCTTTAGATATTTGCAGTATAAAACATTATTATTTTAGGTTGATTTTTTTCCTAATCCCCGAGTATTTCTTTTAGCGCATCTCTGTCTCTGCTTCTCTCTCCTGTCAGTGGACACTGGGCCTGTCCTCTCTTGAAGGCCATGTCCTTCTGTGTCCAGCTTCTATGTCCAGACTGTGATCACTGAGCCTGTCCTCTCTGGAAGGCCATGTCCCTCTGTGTCCAGCTTCTATTGGCAGGCTGTAGTTATTGAGCCTTGTCTGGATGGCAAGTACCACTCCAGTTGCACCATTGCTGATGTGCTGCCAGTCCGGGGGTGTTTTGCAGTGATCCCCCCATGTCCAGCAGACTAACACACTGCCTCTCTCCTCCAGCCTGTTCCTTTCAGCTCTTGTTATGTGTGCCATTAAATCAATAAGTCAATCAATCCATGTGAGGTTTGTCTGCAGGAGGTTATAATTCTGTTCTAATTGAAGGCTGAGACTTATTTACTCATTCTTTCAGTGTGACAAACAGTTTACTGAACTGCCCTGATCTGTCAGTGATCTGCAATCCCTATTACCTCATTCCAGCCAGCAGGAGTCAGATTGTTTGAGTGAATTAACATCATTTAAGACACAGCATGGTGTACCTGTGTTTCCAGCGCTGTAGACTTCTACTGAGCATCGGGCCCCTGTATCCAATGCACTGGAGCACTGGAGCATCTTCACTGGTGGGAATGAGGATCACTTGAACCGTGTTCACTACCCCTGAGCTGGACAGGGAATAACCTCTGTCCCAGAGACAGCAATCCAGCCTGCACGGCTGCAAATGTGAACAGGGATGTGCAGATTTTGGCTGGACGTGGGAGGACAGTGGGACAGAAGACCACCGGAGAGGGACAAGTGCAGTGTCACACTTGTCACACCCCTGGGTGACCACTCTATCAAGGGGGCGCTGGCATTCTGGAAGACACCCCTCCCGGCAGGAAAGGAATGCTGCATGATGGGGAGAATGTGATCACTGTACCATGAAGTGGCCGTTACCGCTGCCCATGCCTTCTAAGGAATGGAGAGCACCCAAACAATCCAAGAAACATGTACTCCACAACATCACAAAGCCACCAAAACCTTGACTGCTGGCACCAAGCACTCAGGGCTAGACTCTTTAGGCTGGCAGCACAGTGCACTCGTCTGTTTGTTGAGACCATGGTGAAGGATGATTTAGCAGAGTGGTGGATCTGTGGCTAAGGACATGTGCCTGTAGCTGGAAGGTTGCCGGTTCTTATCCCGTGGCCGGCGGAGGAATCCTGCTCTGTTGGGCCCCTTAGCAAGGCCCTTAACCCCAACTGCTCAAGGGGCACCGTAAAAATGGCTGACCCTACACTCTGACCCCAAGCTTCTCTCCCTGTCTGTGTGTCTCATGGAGAGCTAGGTGGGGTATGCAAAAAGACAAATTCCTAATACAAGAAATTGTATATGGCTAATAAAGTGATCTTATCATATATCGCATTTCTCCACTGCTCGGCAGTCCATTGCCTGTGTTATTTGCACCACTGGATTCGCAAATGTGCATATCGGTGTGTGTAACAAAGGGTATCCTCACTGCAGCCCGACTCTCTGTGGTCTTCCACTCTGCAGAGTCCCTGCTGGAAGATGTGAGCAGAATTTGTAGTCTTTCCTGCTCCACCGTGGGAATATCAGTCTTTTACTCTGTTTGCCTGTTTTGTCTGGCACTGTGAATGATTGCATGGAGTGCTCTCCTCTCTGCAGTCTCTGCATGCTCCACGAATGGGACTCAGCCTGCTTTATTACACATAATCAGTCCTGGGATACTAAAAATCTGGAAGGGGTCAGTGAAGAATGATAACAGCCCTGTATTAAATATACATACCAAGCATCAAATAAGTTACAACACAAATAAATGCTGTATCACAGGAAAAAAAAACATTGTCAGAGAGTGGACTCTGGCAGGAATCACGTGTCTGGTATTTCCTCAGAGTCCAGTAGATGTGTGGTCTTTGCGGCTGGGAGATTTTCACACTGCAGGTAAAAAAACACCACCTGGACCTGTGGAAGAGAGACAGGAACATTGCTTCTGGAGACTCTGTTGCAAAGCTGAAAAAGCACTTAGGAACAATATTATGAACAAGGCTCCTGATTTTCTAAAAAGCCCCGGGGATCAATAACAGCCTAAGTGCGCTTTTACATTTGTCACTTCTATTTAGAGATACTAATCATTAACACAGGACAGTGTACACCCTAGATCAGTGGTTCTTAACCTGGGGTGCAAGACACCCAGATTTCTTCAGAAGGTAAATCATCGGAAACACAAATTCAGCACAGGCACGTCAACTTCTGTACTTTGTTTCATCAAACCTTGGTATTTAAAGGCAATGTTGAAAAAAGTGTTTAATTTTTTTCTTTAATTTTACTGTGAAATGAATATATATCTATCTCTCTCATTCTATAGTGGTGATATATCTTAGGCTTAAAGAACTGACCTACTTCGATGATCTTTGATCAGGGGCGCGAGAACATATTTTGAAAGTCAGAGGGGTGCAGACTACAGTCAGCCCTGCTGTAGATACTGCTGTCTGCTGAATGAATAATAGGAAGCAGCTGATTGCTCATTCTTGCTGATCTGCCAGCACTGTGGGAGATCATGGTTAGTCCAGGTGACACTGGAGGTGGAGCTCCTTGCCCAAAGCTGATTTAATCTCTTAGGTGCAGTTTGATCTAAACCAGATTGTGCTGTAGTTAGCAGAGAGTGACCCACCTGCACCACCACCTCCTGAGATATGTCCACTTGGGGTCCTGCCTGACCCAGGACCATGGGTGGGGGCCGTAGCAGGCTGGGCCCAAAGACTGTGGCCAGATTGAGGAGGGTCATCTTGTTGATCTCCTGCTTCTCCGCCACTCTGGAGCGAGAGCATGTGGGAGGGTGCAGACAAGAGAGTTTCAGAACAGAAGAGCGAGTATCGGGTGAGAACAGGAAGGCATCAACGCTGGGACTAGTTCAACACTGGGATGGTACTGGGACGGCTTGTGAAGCTTGTGAAGGTGGTGCCGTTACGTGTTGCAGTGCGGGAAGCGAGGAATGACTTTCCGGAAGAAGAGCTGAGCCTTACCTTTTGAGATGGTGCAGCAAGAAGAGGAACGTGTTGCGGTTGACGTCTGGACAGGAGTCGAGCAGCGACAGCATGTGGTTTATCCTGCCCTTTGGGTCTGGCATGTCTAGGGATCAGAGGCGTGCGTCACATTCAGAGAGGGCACTGGCTGGCTCTGGCCAGGCTCGGGGGCCTGGGATGTGACTGACTGGCTGGTCTGGGTTGATCACAGAAACCGTCAGACTCACAGCGGCTTTACGAGGAGGAACATGGCTGGTTCCCTTTATATGTTTTCTTTGATATTTCTGTCTGACAAGTTTCAGCATTGCAGTTGTGTCACTGGGACACAATTGAGAGTTTTGACAGTGTAACTGGGAAAAGATGTGTAGTAAGTGTAACTGGGAGTGGTGGTGTGTTTGGACAGTGTCACTGGGAATAGTTGTGTTTAAATAGTGTAACTGGGAGTGATTGTGTGTTTGGATAGTGTGACTGGGCATGGTTGTGTGTTACTGTGTGCATGTACTGACCCAGTGCTTGAGCGAAGCTCTGGAATAGATCCGAGGGGATGAGCGGCTCTGGTAACTCCCGAAAATAGAGCTTGAGGATGCCGGAGACTGCATTCACATCAACAGCCCTGAGACGAGAGAGAGCATCTCGCAGATCTGCCAGAGAAGGAAACAAAGGTACAGCACGACTCAGTGAGGACTGCACAGAGACCCAGAGAGAGAAACGCAGGTACAGCACGACTCAGTGAGGACTGCACAGAGACCCAGAGAGAGAAACACAGGTACAGCACGACTCGGTGAGGACTGCACAGAGACCCAGAGAGAGAAACATAGGTACAGCATGACGACCTCACAGAGCTGCCCCAGACTGCAAGGAGACCCACTGTAGACTCTTGCTGGAGACATGTTAAAGACAGATAAAACCAGCGATTCTTAGGGCTCTCAAGAATCCTAGTGGAAATTAAAACGTGCTTTCAGGACTGATTGCAGCAGATATCTTTGCCTCATTGCTGGAGCACAGTCCTGGTGTTCTGACCCATGCAGTACTGTCCAACAAATGAGCAAGATGGCGGCAGAGGCAGTGCTGGCTCGCCAAGTGTCCTCTTACTGGTGTTGAAGGCGGTCCTCAGAGCCTGGAGGTCGCTGGCTGCCCCGGAGATGCGGTAGATGCCGACCTCCTCCAGGCCTCTCCTCTCCACCTCCTCAGTGCAGGAACGCACTATGTGAGGAACTAGCGCCCCCTCCTGCCTGCAAACACATACAATTCTATGAACAAAACATTCCTGTTCACTGATTTCGGCCAGATGAATAGTCTGTATTTTACAAGGAGAATATATTCTACTTTTGGAAGGACCTGTTTTGGGATGTGAAAGAACATAGCTGTGGTAGTATTTTGGCAGAATGACAGTTTGTGTGAGACTCTTATTGTATATAGATTTACATGAGTTGGATAACATTATAGGACAACCTTGCTGTGGACAGAATGTGGGTTGCAGCATATTATGTATTGGAGATATTGCTGTTGGAAAAATACAGTAATACAGCTGAATAAATCCTTTAGTACCTCAAGAGGGCTGTCACCCCTTAGTTTGGAGTAGTGATTACAATAATACTTCTTTCAGTTTCTGTACTAACAAGCAACAGGAGAGCTCTCAAGTAAAGTGTTACTCGGAGAACAGATACAGTAGCACATGAGGTTGGACTCACTCTGCGACAGTCCCAATGAGGACTTTGAAGACCTCCTGTTGCGGTGGGGGGACCAGGCCGGGGGGCTCCAGGCTGTGTGCGCAGAATTTCAGGGACAGGCAGACTTCCAGCTGTAGCGCAAATGTAAACACACTGAAAATAACCCGTTCTGATGCCGCAGCAAAGCACAGAGGCAGTGTCACAGCTGCGGACTGGCAGAAGCTCTGCCAGCCCTTGGCTTGCCTAGCCTGGAAAATCAGGCCCTAACAGCGCGTGCGTGGTTTCTGGGGATTCCTTGTGAAGTTAAGACCCACAGTACAAATGGGTTCTGCAGGAAATCATGGCACAAAAAAAGTTGCACGGGCCTCCTGAGTTTGAGCGTCCACGAAAACTTTATCATGTCTTACGTGCGCTTGGATTTTGGCTGAACTCATGCTTAATGAAATGAATGCCACTTCGGCTACTATAAGATATATTTAATATACCGTGCACAGGGTTTCAGATAAATTTCCTGTTTTCATATTTTCGTGCAAGTCACAATCGGTATGCAAGCATTGTGTTTCCCTTCCCTCATCACTGGTGAGACTAGATTTCCTGGGATGGGACGTGGCGGGGAGCTTTGTCATCGTGAAAGCAGAAAGTCTGGGGGGAAGTACAGCAACTAATTAGTACACTTCTGCATGCACCTCTGCGGGAGGCTTCAGCAGTTTGCAGAAGCACCACCTGCAAATTGTTTTGGTATGAATTTCATGTGCATGGCCGCCGACCAACCGTTTGATGCTGCATTGCACAATGGAAAAATATGCTCAGAATGAATAATCTAGTACATGGGTGGCATTCCTGGGGTGGCACAGTGGCCCTGGGCTCAACTCCTGGGGTGCTGTCTGTGTGGAGTTTGTATGTTCTCCCCGTGTTTGTGTGGGTTTCCTCCAGGTGCTCCAGATTCCTCCCCCAGTTCAAAGACAGAGTAGGTTAGTTAGCTTCTGGGACAATTGGCCCTGGTGTGAGTGTGTGTGTTTGTGTCTCTGTGCCCCGTGAAGGACTGGCATCCCATCCGGGGTGTACCTCACTTGCACCAGTTGTTTGCCATTGCTTTGGGTGCGTGGCGATTTGCACGTGAATATTCCACCCACTGCCCCCCAGACGAGTGAAGCTCACCTGGTTTAAAGTGACCGTCATCTTCTTCCATTTCTTCTGCAGAACATTAGGTTCCAGCTGCAGCAGCACAAGATTAGGATCAGAGAGGAACTGTTCACTGCTGCTGCAGAGGGCCTGTGCTGTGACTGAATTTCTGGCTATGGCAAAGTTGATGATGAGCAGCGCGTAACCGCAAAAGAAAGGGGCAATTTAGACTAGGAGAAGGCATCCTAAAAGTCCAGTTTCTTGCATGTTTCTGTTTTTCCGTCCCATCCCAAATTAACAATCTTCTGCCCAGGACTCAGCTTAGTCTTATACTGTGAAGATCAACTCAAGCAGTGCCTTGAAGTGCTGACTGCAATGGAATAGACTGAAAAGGGTAGATTCATAGCCTGAACAAATTATGTTTTTTGCCATATTTGACAGGCAAAGAGATTTAAACAAATGCCTTCAGGGTAAATGACTGTTTCAAGAAGGTTCAGGCAACAGTTCCATCTGAAACAAAATGGCATGTCTCAGCAATTAACTGGGTCAATTAAATACCTAAAATCCAATAGGTTTTTTTTTCTCATGTGTTTGTATGAAATCCTTTGCATCATGAATCTGGTGGCATAGGTTGAAGACCGAAACTCATTTTACTGCATTTGGCAGTATTCACTTTAAGGCTTTCAATTCCATTTGTCTTCTGAGAGTACTGTCTCTATGCGGAGCTGTTGCCAGATAGTAGCTGTTGATTGCTTTCTAAATTAGCCATGGTGGGGTGTTATGCTGGGATGATATGCTGGGGTGTGGTGCTGGGGTAATATGATGGTGTTTTATTCTGGGGTGACGAGCTGGTGCGTCTTGCTGAAGTGTTATACTGGAGTGATATGATGGGGTGATATGCTGGCATGTCATGCTGGAGTGTTATGCTGGGGAATCTTGCTGAAGTGCTATACTGGAGTGATATGCAGGGGTGATATGGTGGTGCATCATGCTGGAGTGTTATGCTGGCGTGTCATGCTGGAATGTTACGCTGGGAAATCTTGCTGGAGTCTTGTAATAGAGTGATATGCTGGGGTGATATGATAGCCATTCTCACCGGAACTAGAGACTTGCCCACAATCCTGTCCCCTGTGCTGCTGCTTCCTCTCTCTGGCTGCTGGACACACAGGACCCACAGGTGTCTTGCCCCATCAACCTGCATGGAGAACTCCTGCAACACGGCAAGGAGAGATGGCGAGGGAGTCAACACGTCCTTCACCCCACAGCAGCTCCCCAGCAAAACCACCTGACGTTCCCTACGGCAGGGAGTCAAACAGGCGATAACCCCCTCAGACACACATGCCCCTGCCGGTCCTGTTCCAGCTGAGCGCTCTGTAAGGTATCACTTGATCTGTATGTCCTTTTAAACTTTTCAATATCAGGAGGAGTTTGAAATGTCCAACTTTTGAATCGATGACCTTATCGAAAAGTTTCCAATTGCTCATATTATCAGCTCACATAAAAGTTCAATTAGGTTACTTCTTGGCAATCAATTAATCTATCGATCAATTTTATTAATAAAAAGCGCCTTTCAACCCCTGAGCATTCTCAAGGCACTTTACATAAATTATACATATAAATATGTAGAGAAAAAAGAGAATAATAAAATACAATATCTCTCTCCTCCTTTGACTCGAGAGCCCTGATATATTGGTGCATTGCCGTTGGATCCCGTATTCCTGCTGTCCTGCTGTTTTCTTTTCTGTCCTGAAAGGTACAGTAAGTGTGTCCCACAGCTACAAGATCCCTCTTACATAGCAGAAGAACAGCCTGGTGTTTAGGGAATTCTGGATGGGCAGTGCTGCAGGGTGTGCCTCCTGACAGAGCTCTGGGAGCATAGCGACAGACTGACCTCATCCCACTGTGGTGCCACGCTGCTCAGTGACGCCCGGGTCTGGGCTTTGGTCTCAAAGAACATGTAGCCGTCCACCTCCAGGCAGATGTACATACCTGAGGAGAGAGAGCAGTTCCAAACACGTCATGATCTGGCCACTCTCCCCATCCTTGTTCTCACCCCTGACATCAATCAAACCCTTATTCTCAATGCATCTTGGGTAAGAGGCAACGGAATAAATTCTGAATCTCAAGCTGTTGTTTGCGATGCACCCACCCGATGTGATGTTTTTCACATCTCGATTCACGGCTACAAACCCTGTAACCGCACACGGGGGAGAATGACGACATGCAGGCAGACGTTTTAAATGTCTTTTAACGTATCGGAGGCGACTCGGCAGTGTAGTGGAAGTCCAGTGCTGATCAGAGGAGAGGTACGCCCCTAAACTGAGAGCACAGCAAGTCTGCAAGCACCTGGGAGGCCACAGGGGGGCGCCGTGTTCAGAGAGACCTACCAACTGATCCCAAATCTTCCCTTGGCGATGCTCAGCCAATGGCGTTCCGGAGCATGGGGGAATCCTGGTCACAGTCAACAACTGACATGACTCAGGCTTGAAACCTGCAGCACCTGGATCATAGAGCTCAGCCAGTGCTCCAGTGAGTGCCTTTATCAGCTGGGCCACAGAGGTGCCCCTGAGTTTAAAACGTGATAATTACCTGTACAGTCTTCTTACTGTCGGTTAAATATAATTACCCCAAATTAAATCGTTCTTGACCTGATTAAGACAGCAGCTGTTTTAAATGCTGTACTGCACATGCATATCATCTTCTGATGCATAGTATATACACATTAATAAACCCAGTCTGGAAATTCCTAACCTTTGTCTTCCTAAGCTTTGCATATGTGTCCTTAAGCTTTGGGCCCTGCCAGATCACGTCCCTGCAAAAGCTAAAATGTCAAATCCCCGCCATTTTGTCTCTGCTTTACACTGGTTCTGTAAGAGGTGGATGGTTTACTATGGCAAAATAAACTGCAGGGGATATACACTCCTCGAGTGAAAGTGATAGCCTCTAGTTAAATGAGTAAAATGTCTCCTGCTTGTCTGTGCACCTACTTGCGGGCTCCTGCAGTCCGGAGGCCCCATGGACAGCCACACTCAGAGTGCCACACAGGGAGCTGTCTCCAGAGTCTACAAGAGAGGAAAGCGATTTTTATAGCAAGAAAATGAAATGTCAAAATTCTGTGCAAGACCCTGAGGAATTAACTCGGCTAGTCTCTTTCTGGGGATCTGGACAGAGCTGGGTTTGCAATACTCCTGGACTCCTTAAGGCAACCCACAGAAGCTCAGCGGGTGTGAGCCGGGTCAGTACCTGGATGGAAGAGGTGTTAGTGGGGCCAGTAGGGGGCGTTCACCCTGTGATCTGTGTGGCTCCTAATGTCCTGGTGTAGTAATGGGGACACTATACTGTAAAAAATGTGCCATCCTTTGGATAAGACATAAAACCCATGCCCTGACTCTCCATGGTCATTAAAAATTCCAGGGTGTTTCTTTAAGAGTAGGGGTGTTACCCTGACCTTTACTAATCACAGTCACAGCCTCCTAATAATCCCCATGTCTAAAACTGGCTTCATCACTCTGTTCTCCTCCCCACTGAGAGCTGGTGTGTGGGGAGAGGACTGGTGCATCATCCAGGTGGGGCTGCACACTGGTGGTGGTGGAGGGGATCCCCATTACCTGTAAAGCACTTTGAGTGGAGTGTCCAGAAAAGCACTATGTAAGCGTAAGGAATTTAATTTAATTTTAACTTTAGGCAGGTGAAGACGAGTAACAGTGGAATGAGCGACATCACCAGTGGCTGTTGTAGGCAAACAAAGCCAAGTCTAACTAGTAACAGGACAACAGTAAGTTGCATAATCCACAAAAACCAGCTCCAGGACTGGGGAGCAGGGCTCTCACCTGGGGCGAGGCTGAGGAGGGGCGGGTGGTGGACCATCCTCAGCTTGACGCAGGAGTTGGTGAGGGTCAGGAGGTCGGGGGGGACGGTCTCGAAACCTGCAGCATGGATAGAAACCACAAGCTTGTCTCCGGCGCCAGCCCCTCTGGAACTGCTACACACTACTGGATACTTAAACTGGCTTATCTAGGGCGTGAAGTGCAAGTCTTTTTACCATTAATTTCCCGATTCAGGCCTGAGCTTCAGCAATAATTATGTCAATTTTACATCAATAGGTAGTACTGGAAATATAGTAAGTGTATATGGCTTTCATCTCTGTAGAGGTTTAGTGTGTTCTCTCTTAGGAACTACAGTATGTATTGCCAAGGTCATGGTCTCAGTGAACAGAGCAGGTCTCTATGACATCTTTCACCTCCCACAATTCTCCCTTCACCCCCTGGGGTAAAAGCATGAGCTCAGTAACTAACAACGGGAAATACTGTATCTGAATCCCAATTATTCTAATTGCACAACCGGCCTTGGTGTTCAACCCCCTGGTGAGCAGTGTCTCCCTGTCTCCCTTGTTTCTCGGGGTTGGACTGACTCACTCTCGGCTTTCAGCTTTTCAATGGCGTCTCTCCACTCGGACAGCTCGTGCAGGGAGGACAGGAGGAGAGTGTGGCTCTACAGGGGGCGGGAGAAGATGCAACAGTCATTACTGTCTGCTACGAAGCCTTTCAAGCATCCCTGAGAAATACTGTCCTTTGTCATGGCATAGTTATTGAACTATTTACCACAAAATGCAGTGTTGATAAAATAGCTTTGGAAATAGTGAAGGTGCTTTTACCTTCAAGATACTGTAGTTTCAGGATATCACTGTACAGGAAGGCAATGTTGTTTAGTTGGGTTGCAAAGGTACATATTTCTGATATTACTACTGTATATACAGTTTGATACAAACTACCAGCATAAATTCACTATTCACTAGATTTTCTGTAAATGATTTAATAGGATTTTGTACACTGGTTTAGATGGGAAAAGCTGCATTAGACCCCACATAAGCATGCCTGTTTTTACAATGAGCAGGAATAGATAACACTAGATGGCAGCTGAGCCGACGTAAGATGTTAGATATTGAAAGAATGTGGGTCAATGATAGTGAAATTATTGTTTGTGCAAAAAGTTTTGTACAAACTGGATGTGGAGAACAATGTAGCCAAATGGCATCTCAGTCATTCAGGTTTGGTTTGGAGGTGTGCCTGAATTAGTTTTATGTCTACAGAATGTTTAGCCACGCTAACAATTTTGCAGCTGCTATTTGTACCAAATTTTATATAATAGCAGCTTGAATCCAGATCATTGGATGTTGATTGTCTGTGGCCAATTGTGTGCATCTATTGTACATACAGAGACCTGAACTACACCCTATGTAGCATGATACCTTGACTCTATGAAATTGTACTGGCCGTTAGAAATTACCCAGAAACTAAAAGACGTCAATGTGCAGAAATGAAGTCTTGTGCATTTGCTGAGATATTGGTACGAATGACAAGGATGGGATCTTGGGGATACCTTTCCGTTGGGGCTGTTCAGCTCCAGTGGGGTTGTGGGAGAATGGGTGAGCAGCCACAGCTCACACTCCTGCAGCTTCCTGCGGGATCTGTCCATGGTCCGAGCTCCCAACGCGCGGCCTCCTTTCTGCCGGCACACCCGTACAAGATGCGGACATCAACATGCGAAACAGACGGACGGAATGGAGGAACTCGTGTTTCTCCCTTGTGATGTCGAAGGTTAAGAGAACACAAGGTTCCATAAAAAAGTAAGGCTGCAAATGCTCAGTTGGTTGCTGGTATCTTTTTGATTTTCCATCTGTTCTTTGAAAGAACCCAAGGACTCTTGTTTCAGTCTCTCTTCACCTTCTGCTTAAAGAAGTAAGACATTTATTCAGATGATGCCTTTATCCAACATGTCTAACAGATGTTCCAATGGCCTATCTTTCTGATGCCAATTATGTAGTTTATAGGTGGGTTTGCTGGAGTAATCTTGAACGTAGGTCACTAGGCCAAAGGTACAGCAGAAGTGTCCTCAGCCTGCATCTGAACCTGTGACCTTCCAGTACAGACTCCACAATTCCTCCACATTCTATTCCTAAATGTGTTCCCCTTAGTAATCACTGTTGTTATTATTACTTCAGGTTTTGGCATGAGCTCCTTAATAAAACCAGCAGGATTCTCAGATTTTCCTGCAGGCACTCAATGCCTGTGACTTGAGTGCCACCCTTCTGCATCAGGCCCTGTGACGTAGCTAATGGAAAGTCCTGGATCTTTTCAAAGAGCTACATGGGCTGAGTAGTCTCCCCTTGTTCTTAACACTTTTCCTTTTGCTTATATTCCCACTATTTCCTAGTGGTACTGATCTGCCGTACATCCACACTTAGTTCCTTAGACGCTAAAGCTTTGAACACAGTATGAATCAAATATGGGTGAGTGTACAAGGCCATGGTCATCAATAGCCATCTCTTACCGCCTGGAGCTGGATCTCTTGCCTGAGCTGGAACATCTTCAGCCTGGTGGTGCTGATCCTCGACTGGACGTCTGCAGGCAGCTCCTGCTCGCGGCCCCACTGCAGCCTCAGACCCACCAAAGGGAGGTACCAGCCGAACCGGTACTGGGCCGACTTCCTGAGCAGAAGCAGAGGGGGGGGGACCTTTCTTTGGATCCAGACTACTACTTTTTGGTTATCAGAATTGCAAAACAGCACCAAGACCTTCAAAGTTACCAGAGGACACACAATGTAATTCCTCCTCCAGCTGTGCATCATACCATCTGCCACTATATATTACTCATAGTCCCCAGCAGTTAAGCACAATGCATAAGCTCCCTCTCTCTGTGCAATAACTGAGCAATGTAACACCCAATACTGTATCTACAACATCTATTCTACTGCAGTAAGAACACATTGTATATTTTCCCTATCTGTGTTAGTACTACACACTGTAATGCTGACCTTTGCCTTCACTTTGCTCAGTCCTTTGCAGATGCTCTAGCAGATAAACCCCTCTTGCCCACACAACTGATGTGCATTGTTCCACTTCACATTGCGTGTGCCTACAGTGCTCACCCTGGCCAGCTTGCCTTCACCTTTGTGCAGAGCAGCACGTCTGTGTAGAGGAAGATGTGGCGGAGACTGCGGACACCCTCGGATGTGTCCACCAGGAACGCATCCTTCACCAGCTGGCGGTTCTGTGGGCCCAAGAGCGGTGTAGAGTATATTTAGCATTATGTTTCTACTGATAGAGGCGGTTGCATTGCAATACACACTTCTCTATACATTCATGTTACTTCCCCTCTTTGGCAAGAAAAGTGAAAAGTGCCACCTGGTTTATTCTCGAGTAGCCCAGGAGCCTAGGAAGGGCTCCTGTGTGGCTGAATCAGTAAAGGCACTCATCTGGAGGCTCAGCACTGTGGTCTAGACATCTGCGGGCCCTGGCCTCATTCTCACCTGGCCCTTGCTGAGAGTGACAGCTCTCTTCTTCTGGGACTCCTCGTTGACCCCCGACAGGAAGCTGCTGGATATTCGGAGGGATTCCTGGAGCAAGGGGCAATCGGGGTGGTCCGAGGGGGTGTGCTTCAGCAGATCCTGCGGGAAACGAGGGGAAAGAAAATGTTAAAGGAGCAAAGAGGGAGATTGCAAGGTAAGGCTCCAAGACCTTGGCCAGTGCAGCGTGCGAGTTCTGAATGGAGATGTGACCCCTCGTCTCTCGGACACCTCGGAGCATCTGATAGGTGTAGCCCATGGAACGAGCTGGCTTTGCCCAAAGGCTAGACTCCCGCCCTGGGAGAGCAGAAGATCTGGGAGGACTGACGTCACTCCGTGAGACTGATTACGGCAGTGCTTGCACGTTTACATTGTGCTTGTGAATGTCTATGCTCAGGACAGGACGCGACGCAAATACATTTCCGAAGTATTCAGTGTGCTTGCAGACGTGGGCTGGACTGGCGTGGGTCTAGTGTTTTGGCTTTAAGAACACATTCTCGTGTGTGGCCACTCCTAAACCCCCTCCCCCCCCCCCGCTTTCTTCCGACGACAACCCGGGGTCACAGCCGCCAATATAGAGCACTCTGACTGAAATAGCGATGGCTGATGAGCCAGAGGTGTGCCGGTCAGTGGTGTGTGAAAGGACTTGAAGCTCTGCAGAGTGAGGGGAAATCATTTTAAAATAGGCATCTGTGTGGTCATGTAGTCACAAAGTGCAAATGCTATGATTTAAGGTCGTTGTCATACTTATTTCTGTTGCAATAAAACAGAGTGTTTTCCCATTATTTTCTTTTTATTGGTGGGGCTGAAGGTCAGATCACGAAAGTTCACCAGCTTTGATCACGGGAGAGGCATGGCTTTGCACAAGTGTTCTTCCAAAGAGTCGCACACAGTATAAAGAACAATTTATTCAGCTTTTTGCCCAATATGTTCTAGGAGCAGGCTAGAACATTCATGACTGAGATGATGCAAACATCAAACAGCTGAAAACTAGTTGCCTGACTCTCTTCACCCTGTGGGAGGAAAGGCGCTCTCTTGCAAAGCTGTCTTCTCAGTTTTTATCCAAAACGTTTTCTATTACAATCAAATGTTTAATTGGGACCACAGGTTTTGTTTGGTGGCGTAATCAGTACCTTGAAAACGAATGTAATGCAACTACTAGCTAACACTTCAGCAGATCAGTAATTCTTTACTTCAGCTGGTGAAAGCAGTCTGAGAAATTGAACACTTGTGTTACATATGGCCACCCTCTTCACAGAAGTGCACCTAAGGGTGTGACTGTCAGCTCTGCTGTTGAGGCCTCTGGGCCTCTTGTCTGTAGATAGTGGTGAGCTCACATATGGGCAGTGCATTGCTTACGTGTAACACCAGTGTCGTCTTGGTCACACGATCCAAAGGCTTGTACAGTAGAGCTGCAGGAGACAGAGGCAGAGGCATTAAGAAAACTTCACCCTGGTGCGTTTACCACACTGCTTTTGCACTCTTACTGTGGTGTTGCCTTATTATTGGTTGCCGGTCACCCTTAATGGCATTTGCATGGTGTGTTCAACTCTGGTGTCTCCCAGACACTCACCACTATTTATCTATGACATCAAGTTTCCTGGTGGTTTAACTCCCTGGCACTATGCATCACTACACCTGACCAAGGAACAGTCATGATATACAGAACCACTCTAATAAATTCTCATAGTCCCATCTTGCAGTATAGTAAGAACAATGTAAGGTCATGAGAAACCATCAAAAACCACAGCCACATTGACGGAAAAGCAGAGTAAAAGCATGAAAATACTATGGTAAAGGTATTCAATGAAGCTTTGGGTACATAGGGTAAGCAGACAGGGCGCCGCTCCAGAGAAGACTGCGCTGGAAGGAGCTTTCTGGTGATAAAAGAGCAGAGCAAGACAGCGCTGGAGCTGCACTCAGAATGCTTGCCTGGTGTGATGGCTCAGGCGTGGTGTAGCTGCAGCTGGGGGCAAAGGAGAGAGTTCAGTCTTACCTTCAAAGGTATGATTTGCCCGGGAGTTATCAGACCCTTTGGAAGACATCATGTTCTTTCCAGGGAAGCACCCAAAAAAAAAGAATCAGGAGAATTGTGGGTGCTAGAGGTTCACACATTGGCCATGATGGTACCACACGGCAGGACTCAGGCTCACAGGTGGAGCTGACTGGATTTCTCCTAGCAAACCCTTATGGCAGCATCTTAATTATGCTGTTAAAGGAGACTGCAACGCTATTTTTAAATTTCGGAGTTAGAAAGAATCGACATTGATTAGTCTTTTTCAAACCACAATGGAAGTAAAATGTACAGTACGCAGTTGTAAAACCTCCAATTGACATCACAAAATAGATGGAATTGCCAGCACCTAATTCTGCGATTCAGAACAAGATAACAAAACCTCCGGTGAGGTGAAGCGGCCTTATTACATTGTAAACAAGCAGGCTTGTGAATACCTCTCTTTTGATCCAATAGAAATATTGCTTTCAATGTCGAGAGGCGTTTTGCCGACAACCACTACTTACTTGTTAAATCTACATGCAGATCACGTTGGAACATTTCAGCGGGGAAATATCTGCTGCACAACCGGTACTTATTCGCTCCGACATCACGTGACATTGGACAATACAGGGACTAGTGAGCAGGAAGGGCTGCTTTACGTCACAATGCCTTGGAACTCTCGCTCTCTCCCCGTGGATAGACCAGGGGTTGTCGACAGCATGGCGGCCTCCCGGTACTTCCATAAAGTTCACAATTTTGTAAAATTTGTAAAATTATGTAAAACCATCAACTAATTTCTTTTCGTACCGAGATTGAATAACCGGTCTGAGGAATTGGGCCTGCAGTTCAACTGGAATTGGCAAAGCGCCTGTGAAAGAGCTCCCCGAGGTCAGAGCCGTCAAGCAGCGGGCCGAGAACTGGCGCAGCCGTGTCCTACCTCTGCCAGCGTCCTGAAGCGCTCGTCCGCCTGGGCGCATTTCCGCACCACCTCCAGCGCGCTCTCGTAATTGTCGATGAAGCCGCAGTACACTCCCAGCTGACTGACCTGCGCCGGGAGAGGATCAGGAGCTTTGAAGAGCACAGTTCTGCTGCCTCCCTATTGCAGTAGCATCTCCATGAACGTTTTTGGAGCTCCTGGGCAAATGTATGTATTGCAGCATATTCGGCATGGTGGAGCAAGGGTTAGCATTGCTGCCTCGCTGATCTGGGGCCCTGGTTTCAATTCCTGGGGTGCTGACCCTGTGGGGTTTGTATGTTCTCCCTCATGTTCACATGGGTTTTTTTTCCCGGTCTGCAGTTTCCTCCCTACAGCCCAAAGGCATATTGGACGTTTAAGAGGCTTCTGTAAAAACTAGCCCTGGTGTGAGAGTGAGTTTGTTTCTGCATTTGCACTGTGATAGACTGGCATCCCATACAGGGGGTACCCCACCTTGCACCCAGTGCCTCCTGGGATAGACTCTGGACCACCATGATCCCGAGCTGTTATTCGGTTATTCAACGTGATGTGATGTGAGTTGTATTGTTGCATTTTCTGCTTGTTTGAACAAGGTCAAGGGCCCAGTGTGGCAGACAGGATTTAGCTGGTGTTTTAGCACCTTTGCTGACACCTTGTCTTGCCTCACAGCTCTCTCCTGCGAGAGTGTGAAAACAGCTCAGCAGAAGCAGTATGCACAAGCACTCATTGGGGTTCTGGGCTCCATTCCCTCGTGAGGGATTATTTCCGTCACATTGCCACAGAAACGGATGATATTACCGTGGCTGGAAGTTTCACCTGGTGTGAGTATATATAAGAAATAATTCTTTATTGCAAAAAACAGTTTTCTGTTTTCTTTCCAATGCTAAAGGTACAGTATTGCATCAGGTATATATAGTATATTGTATATATTCATCATCTTCTAACTGCTTTATCCAATTCAGGGCCGCAGGGGAGCCGGAGTCTATTCCAGCAAGCAATGGGCAAAAAAACAGGATACACCCTGACCAGTCCACCACAGGAAATACACAGACACGCTCACACTCACACCAGCGTCAGTTTTCTTGGAAGCCAATTCATCTACCAGCATTTCTTTGGACTTTGGGGAGAAACCAGTGCACCTGGAGGAAACCCAGGCAAACACAGTGAAAAGATACAAAACTCCACGCAGAGAGCACCCCAGGAACTGAGCCCAGGACCCCAGTGCAGCAAGGCAGCAATGCTAAACACTATGTATATGAATTTGATGTGTGTTAATATATACGGTTTCATATATGTGTGTATGAAATAGTATATATTAATTTTGTATATTGTATAGTGTGTGATTTGCTCCTGCACACTTAATCTATTTTAGAAAATGATGGAAACTTTTTCAAAATCAGAGAAGAGCATCATGTGGGGGCAAAGGGGTTCAGTCTGTGGTGGAACATAGGTGTAGCTCAGCAGATATCTCAGGTTAGCGCGCAGGGATCTCTGTCAGCACACCATTTTTTGAAAGAGGTCCCCCACTGACGCCTGAGGGTCCCCCAGCTCCAGTCTGTTCTTCAGGCTGTCGTAGAAGTCTCTGTGCAGGTTCCTCAGCTCAGGCACCTGGTAGAAGACCGTCTGGATCTGCTGGTTGGACAGCACTGGCTGGGAGGTGAATGCTGTTGCCTTGAGAGCTTTCATTGGCTGGGGGGACAAGAGAGGACACGGTCAGGGCTTGAGACCTGAATGCCTATTGGTCATCGGACTTCTAAGAGGGTTAGTCATTGGCTGTTTCAACAGGTTTGACCACAGCCAGGGTAAGATGAACAAGAACAAGAATATAAAGGTTGCAAACAGGAAGTCATGTGGCTCATCTAGCTTATTTGGTTGTTGGCAGCTAAGTGATTTGAACGGTCTTATCCGGACTTTTGTTCACGTAAACCAGGGTTTGACAACATGGCTGAAATCCCACAACCTTTAGCGCCCTCCTGTCTGGTGTCAGTGCATTACTCCTGAGATTCCCTTTGTGTGTCCACTGGTTCCTCTTTCACTGAAGAACATCAGAAAACGAGCGATTTATTTGTTGTTGTAGTTGGGTTTTTTTTTTGAGGGAGGGATGAGCAGGAATAAAAGTGAAAAAGAGGAATAGAAAACCCTGAAAAAAAACGGAACTAGAGAAAAACTGGCGATTTGAGTCAAGGGAACTTTATTTGCCCCGATAAAGAAAACCAGGAAACGGAGGGAAACCGTTCCGTCCCCACACGACTGCAAGCATTCCCAGAAACAAATGCATGGGATAAACAAGGAAGACCATGGGTAAATGTGGCAGTAGGCTACCCGAAGGGACATTTCAAGAAACAATTGAATGAGCTTCTATTCAGACCCAGGATTTCTCCTTCTGATGTGTCGTGAGCTTGGTGTTCAAGTAAAGGGCAGATGAACAGTTGATGCTAAATAGCTGAAATAATGCCAGTTAATGCTCAGTTACAACCTTAAACAAACCTATTTGAAGTGCATTTCTGTGGCTTTATGGAGCACAGAAAACATCATTGCCTGTCTTTTCCATGTCTACTGGCAATCTGTCACAGGCTTTGCAGTTCCTCTCTGTTAGCCGAGCTAAGGCACCGGAAACCTGTCCTTTTGCCTGTGGCCTGCAGTGCTGTTGGTGAACTGAAGTGACTCTGTGTCATTTCACAGGGCAGCTGGAGTAGATGGGTCTCTCAGAGACAGCACCACAGTGCCTTGAGTAAAGCTGATTGGGCAATTCAGCAGGAACACTGTGATGTGCCCACTTCTCAATTTTCTTTTTATACTGCGGCTGAGAAATATGGGCAGCTGCCCAAATGATAAAAGCAGAATTATTTGCAAGTGTCTGATCTGGTGCACACGCAGTTCAGCTTTTTGCAGAGCCCTGAGCCCGAAACAAAGTGCACAGCTTTGTTACGGACCCAGAAACGAATGGATTGTGAAGGGGTGATGACAGTGAGCCAGTTAGAAGCCCTGCTGTGCCTCACTGGGCTTCCTGGTTTCTGGTTTTATCAGATAAGCTGCTCAGGAACTCCAGACATTCCTCATTAAAGCTCTGCTTTGCTGATCTCTCATGGCATTGCCACCCTCTTACTGCAAATTAGTATTCTCCCCTGCCTTGTTTTCTCTGTGTGTTCATTTGAGTTTGACATATTTTCACTGCACTAGGCTGTGATAATGAAACTCTTCCCTTGTGAACCTTCTCATCTACAAAATATGGGGAAGAACTTTTTCCGCATTTTGCAAATCATTTCGAGTGAAAATGCAGAACTAGGTTTTGTAGATGTGGGGGGAAGTTGAGAAAAGGTAGACCAATACTGTATTTTTATATCACTGAAACCGTACCTAATTGTTCCTTATCTGAAGAGGATATTTTTAAACAGGGCGGGACAGTGGTGCACTGGTTAATACTGCTGCCTCACAGTGTTAGGGCTCTGAGTTCAATAGTGGAACAGGGGTGCTCTCTGCGTGGAGTTTGTATGTTCTTGTGCTTGTGTGGGTTTCCTCCGAGCGCTCCCAGTTTCCTCCCAATGAACTGGTAGGTTAATTGGCATCTGGTGTAAATCAGTCCTGGTGTGGGTGTTTGTGTGTCTGTCTGAGCCCTGCAATGAACTGGCATCCTGTCCAGAGTGCGTCAGGCATTGCACCAGATCAGGGCCGGATTTTAATGTTCATAGGCCGTAGGCACTTTCACCCCGAAATGTGCAAAAAGAGGGGTCAATGCCAATTGAATGATGTCGATTGACATGATGCACTTTCAACTATTCTCATGCTGAACCACGTGATTGATGGAGCGAGTCGAGTGACCATCACTTCCATACTTCCAGTTTCTAGAACAGCTGATAGAGAGCACGTGATTACTGACTTGCAGCGTCTTGAGTCGATCGCAAGCGTGTCGTTTCAGCTCGTTTTTCGTTAGTCACTAGTGTTTCCCTCCTTCGTAGGCCCTAAAACCTTCGTAGGCCCTAGGCACTGGGGCTGCAGTGCCTAATGGGAAATCTGGCATTGCACCCGATGCTTGCCAGCATGGGTTCTGGTGCCCCTTGCTGCCCTGTTCTAGATAAAGCAGTTAGAAATGGATGGAAGGATGTTTTGAAACATAGTAATAAGATACTTGTAATAGCTATCTTGTGGTACAAGTGAGGCAAGGTACAACATGTATTTCTTCATTTTAGTCAATGGAACACTGGCCTGCTTGATGTGTATTGCAGGAAGCCGTGGCCAAAGACCAGCTGCAATAGGTGTAGGTGTGAGTAGGTCGCAGTTTATTTATATTTCCTGACATCTAGCAAATACTGTTCTGCATGTTTTTTTTCTTGTCACAGGACCTCTCTTACCTTACCCTTTGCAGATTGTTTCTTATTTAAAAACACAAAGGCTGAAAAGCAGCTTTTCACTTGTGATCATCAGTGTTAGTCCTATAAGTCCCTCAAGCAAAGTGTACCGGTGATGCTGATCACTAATCCCAGAGCTGATATTTCAAGTTCTGTACTTCACCAACAGATACACATCAGTGCCTATCCTTTGCTCTGATGTGCTGCTCCATTTGGAAGGAACCTCACAGCACTGGCATTGTGTCCTCCAGGAAGGTACTAAGCCACAATCAGATTAGGTAATGACACCCTGAAGAAATGTGATTAGGTTTGCATAATTGTTTGCAAAGCAGTACAGTTTCTGCCATTTCCTTTAGCTTTTGCAAGAAGGCAAATCTTTTATATGATTATATCAATGCATTTATTGTGTATTTCTGTATACACAATGTTTTATAGAACTTGTCTGAAGAGACTTCATTAGGAAATGGCAGTCTACAGGATTTTCACACATATGTGAAGACAATTTGTTTAACCGCAGACAAGCAACCAGCCCAGCAAGGTGATAAATTAAGAGCTGGTGTGGAACTAAAATGAAGACATGCCTTTGCATTTTTTTGTTCTTCGTCTGTTTATACGCTTCTGCTTTCATAGGTAGACTAAAATGGATCCTGGAATTAAATAAATCAGATGTTCCTTTGTAATCGAATAGTTGACACTAGGGAAGGCTGATAGCTAATTCTGGGCACAGAACAGATAAACAGCAGTGTTATGCTTATGGACCTGTTATAGATCCAACCCTGCATGCTTATAGACCCAAATCTGCATGCTTACGGACCTGACCCTACATAATTATACACCTGAGCCTGTGTACGTATAGACCTAAGCCTGCATACTTATAGATCTGTTACGGACCCAACCCTGCATGCTTATGGATCTGACCCTACATACTTATAGACCTCAGTCTGCATACTTATGGACCCAACACTATATGCTTATGGACCTGTTATAGATGTGAGTCTACATACTTAAGGACCCAACATCATATACTTTTGTATCTGACCCTACATGCTTATGGAACCAATCCTACGTACTTATGGACCCAATCCTGCATACTTATAGACCTGAGCCTGCATATTTAAGGATCAGATACTACAGTATATGCTTATGGACCTTTAATAGACCTGATCCTGCATACTGTACATATGGAGGTAAAAGAAAACCCAGGTGAATGTCGGAACATGCAAACTGTGCTTCAAGGCACCCAAGCCTGGAATCAAGCCCAAAACCCAGGTTGAGCCCTGGATAGCAGACATTGCCAGTTTGAGCTAAGACCTGCCACGTCCACAGTGCAGGGCTCTGCCTGTGCTCTCAGCGGTCTGATCTGTAATGCTCACCATGAGCAGGGCCTCCAGCTCGCTCAGGTACTGCTCCTCGCTGGCCAGGATGTTCCTCAGCACCAGCAGCCTCATCTCCAGCATCCTGTCCGGGTCCCAGTCCGTCTGAGAGGGAGAAAACACCCGTCAGGCCTCGCGGTCGCTCGCTGACACGTGCCCTGGCTGCTCTCAGCCTTCCATTTCCCGCCCATCTGGCCACTCTCCACTGAGGTCGGGGCCGTGTGGTTTCTCGATGACGGCACGGCAGGAAGCTCCCGCGTGTAGCAGCTTCGTGCACCATCGCTTCAATGCGCCTTGAATTGATGATGACGCACAGACAGGCAGGCCAGCCAACGAAAGTGTCAAACTATATGAGCCTGGTTTAACTGATGCAACTCTCCAGCTTCCAAGAGCTGTTTTGGACCTCTTAGGGTCCCGACCCTCCATGCTCGACAACTGTTTTACTCTTTTTTTTTTCTTGACTTTAATAAAAAAGCACGGGGGGATCTCCAAACGTTCCGCTCTTAATTTTCGATCGACGATCAGTGGTTCTTTATTGTTGCCCCTCTCGCTGTTTTTGAAGTCTCGACTCCTTGGTGCTGTAACCCCCCCACCGGAGGCAGTAGGCATCTGGCAGAGCCCCAGAAGGAGAGCAAGCTCTCACGTGATCAGCGCTACGTCTCCGATCGGCACCCCCTGCTGTCGCGCCAAGAGCGGGCTGGGCGCTAGGCAACCGATTCCAGCTGCACTCTGGCGGCATTCTGGGAAAAATCCCAGTCCCAGCGAGCTCGTGTGAGGTTCACACCAGCTGCCGCCTCTGGCACGCTGGGCTCCACCTGCCCTTCAGGCGACAGCTCTCCACCCCAGGACCTCTGGGGCTTTCCCCCCGGCGTGCAGTACGCAAAGAACAAGACCCACCAAACCGGCATGTCTCCTCGGGCTTCCAGCAGAGGAGAACATGCACAACTAGGGACCTCGACGGTTTCGTGATGCTTGATAACGGCGTTCAAGACAGCCTGCGATCAAAAGGAATGCAGAGGTTTTCATCCCCCCTAGGTTAGTAGCAGAGGGTGAAAACTGTTTTTCTTTTTAAACGCCAGCGGAGACCCAGGGCGTTCCACCCACACAGGAGCCCCTCAGCCGGCGCCTTCAGTTAGTCAGCAGAGACGGACCCCGCCGATCACGCCCAGGGTCCGAGCGGGCAGCCCCGCGCCACTGCCGTGCCGGAAAACACAGGAGAGACCTCCGGCTCTCAGGTGTCCTCTGTGGGTAGCGGGGCTTAAATTCAGCTCGCGCCGGGGAGGGTGACTGGTGACGTCTGCAAAGCAACCTGAGGGTTACACCCCGCGGAGGGAGGGAGAGAGTTCAGTAGGGATCGGGGGTGGGGAGTGGGGGGAGACTGGGAGGAATGCAGCCCTGACTTCCAGCAGGCCACCAGCAACTGGAACTGAGAAACCACAGAGGTAGAAGGAAAAGTGGAAAAGGGACAAGATCCTTGTGTCGTATCAGTCTGTAACCTGCTTACTTTCCCAAATGTGCTGCCTGTTCATGTAAAGAGAAGCCCCACCTCTGAGACCTGGCTCCCTGTCCTGCCTCACCTCCATTCGCCTGCACTCCTTACCTGATACCTCAGTTACTTCATAACCTCTTAGCTGAAACAGACCTCTCCTGAATCAGACATTTTGACTTGAATTCACACCTCAAATAGGGAGCACACTGGACGTTACTCCTTGTCGCATTTTATGTGTGGCCTTAACCTCACTGGGCTGGCCATGACCAGGAGTGGGGACGCCCACAGCCCCTTCATCTCCGCCGGGGGACACTCACTGGCGTATCCGGGAAGTCGACGCTGTCGGAGCGCTGAGGGCTGAAGGGGGAGGTGTCGACGGGCAGGAAGCCTTCTTCGCTGTCCATCGCAAAGACATCCTCGAGAGTATCCGGCTCCAGCTCCTGCACCTCTGGAAAAAGACACACGTGGACAGAGGCCGTCAGGGCTCTGCGTGCAAAGGGTCTTTGGATTTGGCTCTCTCTGCCCATAACTGCTGCTACTTCAGAGAAGCTCTGCCGTTCAGGCAGGCTCCAGAATGCTGCGCTGTGCCTGTGATGCTAGTTCTGACACGCTGGGCCTCTGATGGTAATTCTAGATCACTGTGCTAGAACTGTGATTGTACCAGCAATGGAGGTTCTAGCTCAGTTGACAGTGCTTGCAATGCTAGTGCTAAAATTCTGCGAGATGCTTGTGAAGATCAGCCCGGCATTTGTTTTGCATTTTACATTGACGCAGGATCTAGAATATTGTGCCACACCCTCTGATGTTAGTTCTGAAAAGCTGTGCCATTAATATCTCTGCTGCCTGTTCTAGACCAATATGTTATATCTCCTGTATAATGCCAGTTCAAGAACGCCGTGCAATATCTTTGTTCCGAGTTCTAGAATGCTGTGCTACAGAATGGCTTCTGGAACACTGTGTTGCACCAGTAGAGCAAGCTGTAGCATGCCTGTAAGACACTTTGCTGTACCTATGCCGTATGCATTCAGGTAGTCTGCTGCTTCTTTGTAGACATCCATCTTGGTGCTGGGAGGTGGAAAGATGGACTCGGAGGAGGATGAGTCTGTCTCCTTCAGACTTGGGGCCAAATGGCACACCTGCAGCAGGATCTAGCAAAACCCTGGAATCCAAACAACAGAAGAACGGTATTTGTGAGTGCCAGACATCCCACCCGCACACATTGAGGAGAGCAGCTCTTGTCACGTACCAGGATGGGGGTGAGGCAAAACACCGGGCACAAAAATGATCAGCCACCACTTGTTTCTCATTTTACATTCACTGCTATAGTCACTGTGCCACAGGGTGCAGCACAGTGAGAATCAAGAAACACGTTTTCTGTTTCAGCATCTGTGAAAGGCAGGGCTTTGATGGCCAGGCAAGTTCGCAGCCTGCTGTTCTCTTTCCGATCAGCCGCTGCTGAAGGTGTGATGCATAAAACGTATTAGAGCAGCAACACGTGCACTGTACATTCGATTTTTTCAAAGCTGGGATCTCTCTGGGACTACCTCTAGAATAAGTATGTTCAATTCTGGTCCTAGAGGGGTTGGGTGGGGCAGTTTAATTTCTAGGTCCCTTCAAATTACCAGCACCTGTAGAGTTGGCAGAAACTGGTCCAAATTAGGCAGTAAAATGCTGATTCCTGTACAGGTTTTTGGGGCAGGAGAGTCCCCTGTTACACATGCACAAAGTCTGTGTCCAGACACTCTACTCTCCTGTTATACAAAGGCTGTGTCCAGACACTGGACTCTACTATTATAGCATGAACAAAGGCTGTGTTCAGTCACTGGACCCTCCTGTTACACAAGCACAAAGCCCATGTTCAGACACTGGACCCTCCTGTTACAGCAAGTGTAAAGACTGTGTTCAGTTACTGTACTGGATCTCTACTTTTACACTAGCATGAAGCTTGTGTTCAGACATGGGCTCTCCTGTTATACAAAGGCTGTATTCAGTCACTGGACTGTTACAGCATGGATAAAGGCTGTGTTCAGTCACTGGACACTCCTTTTGCACAAAGGCTGTGTTCAGTCACTGGACTCTCCTCTTACAGCACAATTAAAGGCTGTGGTCAGTCACTGCACACTCCTGTGTTCAGACACTGGATCTTCCCTGTTCAAATCATGGATAAGATGCATCTGAGGACATGCCTCGGGCCCAACATTACCAGCCCTTTGCTGAATATGATTGGTGTGGCACTGCCTGGGGGGTTGTGGGTTCAAGTCCCAGTAGGAGCCAGTGCAGCTGTGCTCTTGAGAGGTGATTTATCTCTGCTCCCCTGACAGGGTCACCTGTACGAATCCTGCCCACCAAGACGATGCAGCACTAAGCTAACTGTACTCCCGGCACAGCCTCATAACAATAAAGGTTCCCTCCACGGGTACAGTCAAGCCGATTTTAGACATTTTTTTAAAACTCGCAATTAACTATTCCCGCTTGAGGAAACTCGAAGGCTTGAGGCTGAATGGATGGGGAGATCTACACGTGGACATAACGTTTGGAGGAAACTTCAGGTAAAGACGGCCAGACCCTGTTGGAAACTGTGTCCGCCCGGTTTTTTTTTTTTTTGCTGTTTTGTTTCTTCTTTCTATTTGTATCACGCCTGCTCTTTCCCCCCGCTCGTTATAAATCTTCCACAGATAGGGCATCGGCTCGTTTTTTGTTCTCTGTCCCTGAGCCGAGCTCACAGCAGCCGCTTATGTGCCGGCGCGCCGCCCCCTGCCTTCCTCTTCTGCTGGGGTCAAGACGGAAACCGCGCCACAGCGCTTCGAAAAACCGCTGGTCACACTACCGTGGTTACCGTGCAGAATGCCTCCGGAAAGACCCCGGGCACTGACTGAAAACAGAAAGTGGGACAAGCTCTTGTAGAAGCCGCGCAAACCTACTGACTCTTCTGCTCCTCAGCGCAGAATCATGTATATTGTGGAAGCAATGATAATAATAGTGAATAATCAAATTGTGAAATAGAAAAAAAAAGTGTTTAAGAACTAGTAATAGGTTTATTCCATGCTGAAAAAGAGAAGAAAGAAAACACAACGTTTCGGCCGTGGAGCCGCCTTCGGGGCTCACACCTGAAGACGGCTCCACGGCCAAAACGTTGTGTATTCTCTCTTTTTTTCAGCATGGAATAAACCTATTACTTGTTCCTTTGCAGCCTACGCATGCTGACGCAGCTACCCACCTGAACTGCGTTGTTTAGAACTGATAAGTCATATTATTTTAAGTGCCAGAAATGTCTGAAACTCGAGTGAATGACACAAACCGCAGGTCTGAATTCAGTCTGGGCAGAAAGCAAAGGACAATCCGGCTATTCTCACTGCTTCGGGCCATCATGCGTTATCAGCTAATACTGCAGCCGCGGCTAAATCAGGCCGATGTCATTTGTCCATCGCAGCCCCTTCCTCGTTGCTGACACGGGCCCGTTCTTGACTGAAACCGACTTGCTCAACACTTCTCCAAAAGCCCGGAGCGCCTGGAACGCGCCGCACGCGCGTCTCGCGGACTCTGGCGCACCCGCTATGGTCGCGCGAGGTACAGGTGGGGCGAATCGGACTGTACTTACCACAGTAAAAGAAATGTCTTTGTTAAGCCCGGGAGCACCGCGCCGTACGCTTGTGCGACAGAAATCCGTAGCCAAAGAGGAGACCTCTGTCTCTAAGACTCCCCTGCTGTACACTGGTTGTCAACACGTCGTGTCCGGTACGACCTGCCTTGACAGCTCTGCAGCCGAGCACTGCTGGAAAGCAGAGAACCACCCTCCGCGAAGACTGCCCATCCTCTCGCAAAATCCCACCAAACCGTGGGGGGAAGAATCGCGCGTGTCACTGGCTCAGTTCGCTTTTTTAAAAGCCTCAGGAGAAGAGTAAAATCGAGCGCCGGCTCGGCTCCTCGGAGTTCTGTGCTGTCGGCCACTGTGCGCAGGTTTGCAGTGCAGGCAGGGGCCCCGAGTCCACGGGACTCCTGTCCGTCCACGCGAGCTGCCTCTCCTTCCCCGAGCCCCGGCCGTGTCTCTGCCCCCCGCCTCTGATTGGCTTCCGAGCCGCGCTGGCAGTTGAGCTGTGAGAAACCACAGCCTCTGACAGACGCGAGGCAGGCGACTTCCTCTCTTGTATCGGATACAATTAAGCAGTTCTTCTGGCCGCAGAGGAGGGAGAACACGAAGCGACACACGGCCACACGTCATCACACGACCAGAAGTCGGCGCAAACGAAGACCGGCTCTCCCTTCCCCTCTCTGTCCCGCCGGGCTTTGGCGCCTCCAGCCCTCCTCGCCCTCGGAAAGCTCTCCCGAGGCTCGGGACAGGCGTCGCGTCCTTGTCGGGATCCCCTGGGAAGCTGTATCGGCCCCTCTCTCTCTTTTACACCTCGCTGTAAAACTTATCAACGATACATGCGCGCATGTGTTTGTGCCTTTGCTTATTACGACACAGATAAAAGAGAAGCCCCGTGTCTGCGTGTGTTTACATCGGTTTTTAACGCGTTTGCCTGGGATTATAGTCACGTACAAATATCACCGTCACCAGGTGAATGAAATCTTAAATTCTCTTTACACAAGGCACGGAGACTCAAATGAGAGCTCACGAAGGCTATGCGCGCCTCTCGTCCCTATGAGTTAAGGATAAATCATTTTACATGCGGAGGATGAGAAAAGTCAGGCGTCCCTGAGAGGACAGAACGTGCGCATTTTTGGGGGTGGGAGGTCCAGATTTCCGGGGGATACTGAATTGTCTAGGTCTGGACACCGCTCTTGCGCTTCTTAACGGGAAATCAGATTACCGCAGTGCCTGCAGTGATATAGGGCAGCCCATAGGTGGCACTCTTCCGAAATGACCCGGTAGTTGCCAAATACAGCGTCCAGGGGCGCGGCGGTGTAGAGTAGGAGGGCCCGATGCCAGAGATTTCTGTGTCTTTTTCAGAATCCTGCCCGCCCCTGCCCACAAACCCTCTTGCCACGGACCCGTGGAAAACCAATGTCAGCCGTTCGTTGTCTGAAATCTTCTATTTCAGTGATTGAGCTACTGATTCTGGAGGTGATCGTAGTCCGTGTGCTTTAATGCGTCGTCTGCTCTTTTGGTGAGCACTTCAGAACTCGAGCGTTTATTTCACGAGTGGGAGGCTCGAATGAGTTCATATTTTGCCGCTGTCATAATTTACGTGCGATTTGGAGAGGCAATGTAAAACCACTTTTCACAGCTGTTGGCACCAGCGCGGGGCTGGGATTACTCCTCTGCCTTTGCCTTTCCAAAGGCTGAAAAAACGCGATTCTCCCACCGTGACTAATTTTAATAATGACTTCTGGAGCGATACCAAACAACAACAACAGCAACAACAACAAATAAACCACGACATAGTCAACGGTGGCCTCTGTACAGAAACGATCCCGACATCGGTCAGACAGAAAAATCCATTTCCAGCAGCAGATTAAAGCGATCACGTACTTTCATCAGTACACGCGGAAAATCTGAAAGTACTCGTTGTGTTTGTTTCCCAATAATTTTAGCGGAATTTATTTTTGTGACACAATTCCAACATTGCTCAAAGTACAATATTCAGGCATGGAGCTGCGTCACTGCAAAGGAACAAGTAAAGGTTTATTCCCTGCTGAAAAGAAAAAAAAGAGACAAAGTTTCGGCTGTGGAGCCTTCTTCGGGTTTATTATAAATAAATCTTTACTTGTTCCCAAGTGCGATACGCTGACTCCGTTGTGCTCGACGTCATCGTCGTCATGGTTACAGAAAAGAAACGATTTTGTCCAACTTCTATAACAAAGTCGTGTTTCTGTCGAGAGCAAAGGCTGTAAAGACCGTCTTACATTTGCTATTATTTAGTTGGTGTTTTTTTTTTTTAGAAAACCATTTGGATGGAGTTACGTGTTGTGAAAGGTCCCGCAGGGTCTCGGTTCAGCACCGCGAACAGCGCAGCCGAAATCCCGCCTCACTTTCAACGCGGTGAAAACCGATTATCTGTTGAGACCCCGGGCTTTTTGAGCTCAGGGGATCTTTTACACCCGCACAGGGCTTCCACTGTGCAGAACCACATAGCGCATGGTCTTATATACAGTACAGCAG